AAGAAGAAGAAGTGCGTATAGCATGTCATGTACACACAAACCGAGTCTCAAACCCACAGCTTTTGTGTGCTACACGCAACTCCTCGGTGTCAGCATTGTGGATACCGCCGAGCTGAACAAAATTTAAGAAATCGATGCAGCAACGCTTTGGCGTAGCTATGCTGCATGTTACCAATGGACAAGGACTTGGGGCAATTGTAAACATTTTGAAATTTTGGAAAATTTTGGAATTATTTTTTACCCGAGGAGGGCAGAAGGGTGGTGGGGGAGGGGGGTGGGTGCATTTTGGAGGTGGGTGTGGTGCAACCCTCCTGTGGGAGTGGGACCACACTCCTCAGGAGAAGGTCGTTGAACTTGGGATGGATGAGAACAAAAAAGTGAACAAAGCCAAACTCTCGACTTGTTTCCAACCGAGAGTTGTGCTCTTTTTTGTCCTGCACGCACCAGCAGCAGCATAGAATAATGTATATGAGCAGTAGTAGCAGTAGTCGTTCGTGGATGTACATAGCTGTACTGCACATCCTCCTTTTTAGCCATTATGTCTGATGTAACAACAACCAGCAATAACAATGAACCCATTCAATTGGTCCAAGTTGAAGGACTTTTTGCCATCAATTCCACAACTTCTCTCCCCAATTATGCAACCAAATCTACGCCATGTAGGAGTATTTATTTCGGTGTGTGCATGACCAAACATTTTAATATTGTACATGATTCCAGGAGTGACATTTTCTCATGTGTGGCACATTTTCACATGCACTGTTTTATATGCTACGGAGAAAGAGCGACGACAGAGAGATAAACATGGTTGATAAGAAAATCGAGCAGATTCTTCAATTCAAGTTTTCCATTAACGACATTTCCTCGCAAATGGGAAAGGCATGAAAGGGATTAGGATTTATTTTCCTAAATGGTATTTCGATTAAAGACTGTTTTTCGCTTAAATCATGTTGTACTTAATTCCCTTCGGCTAATTTAAAGGGATTTCTGCTGCTGAACGTGCAAAAAACATTATTCATTATTGCAAAGTCCTTCTAATACCCATGGACGTATTTGTGGTTAGCGGATAATACTTTGCGGTCTGGTTTGGCTTTGCCTGATTAAATATTGGAAGCAAGGAACGTAAAGGAATCGGAGCCCGTTTTAGTTTGTGTCGTCCTCTTTTAGTAAATTGGAAATCTTCTTCCTACATTTTAAGGATACTCGTCAAGGAAGAGGATGCCAGATCATGTTTCAATGTCCTTCTCACCACCGTGAAAACATTGCTGAATGGAATTTACGGACTGTCAGATGAGCTTTAGTTTGCAGAGTGCGTTTTCATATGTTCTTAACTTGTCCCAGGCAACACGATGGACAAACATTCGGAACAGAAAAAAAGGCTCATTTTTACTTTATTTTCACTACTAGATCATGTTACCATCATTTAGTTTTGGTTGCTTAGTTATTTTACTTGCATCGCTATCCTCGTCGTCGTCGTCGTCGTCATCGCTCAAATAAGTGAAGGAGAATCTAATCCTCTGCTTCTTGCCGAGATTCTCCAGTGAATACTTTTATTCCGTATCCATCCTGATACGACGATATGTGATGCGAGAGATGCAACGCAACTCAAGGAAATTTCCTTCCGTCCATCCGCTCGTCATCATCAAAAGATGATGATGATGATGATCAAGTGATGTGGAATATCACATCCTATGCTCTGACTGAACCATGCCACGTGGAAGGATGACCTTGTGAAGTGTTTTGTGCGTCCAATAATAAGCGCCTGATAACCATCTCAATTAATCTCACTCACTTATTTCATCTTTCTCGTCTCATCATCCTTACAAGTTTTGTGTTTGATTCAATTCCTACAACTATTCAAAAGGCAATTCCAAAATTCTCAACCCCATCTCCCTCACACAATGCATTCGTACGTATGCACAAACGATCTTATGGTAACATGACGGTTATTTTTCTCATTCAATTTGTCTTCAATGCATGACTTAAATTAAAGACGAAAAGAGATCAGCTTATCGTTCACGGGATGAGGCAAATACTAAATGCATCCATTTCTACCCATTAGTTTACATAGAGGGAGAGAAGAAGCACACAACTCTCCCAAATCTTCTGTGCGTACGTATGTACATGCTCATTCCTCAGACTTTATCCCGCATGTATTTGTACACTCTTATTGATATTAAAAAATGCGTGATAAATCCAATTCTAGCCACAAACCAGCGAGAGGATTTCTCATTCCGATGTCATGACTCAGAGGGTGAATGATATCGTATTACACGCAGTCAACAAGGTAATTTTCACAGACTAAATCCTCCAATAGTTGAAAACGAGTTTATTTATTTCTCTTGTGATCCAGTGAGTGTGACAAATTATTTTGTAAACTTGAAGAAGAATGAGTGTTGACGCGATGTAATGTACATAATGTAATGTTGCTGTTCTTTCTTACATGTATTTACAACGTAGGTATTTAATAATAGTGATCACACGGTTAAATGATGGCCGTGCACATCTCATTAATTTGTGGCTAACGTGCCACACCCATGGATGAGAGAGAAATGTGTGATGATGTCCTTTTGCTTCTTCCTTTGTTTCACCATCACTCATGTCTCTGCCTATTTTATAAACATTTATCGACTTTTCTCATTATGCTGCGGCCAATTGGCGTAATGAACAATGGTATTTTTGTATGTGTACTATGCATGATGCGTGATTGTCATTTTGCGCCAGGAGGCTGGATACATATCAGGGAAGAAATTGTGTAGAAATGTTTTGTTTCATAATTAGTGATACGATCAGTGTTCTTCTGGATATGTAATTTTGTACGATGCTGCTGACAAACATCCATGTTATAATAAATGATCTCTGAAATTCTGTTCTCATATTTAATCATACGTATTATGTTATGTTGTGTACGCATTTGTAGTCAATCTGTAAGGATGAACGTGCTTATCTCGAATTCTTCTCCCCCATTGGTCACAAACTGACTGAGAATAAACAAATTTGCCTCTCTTTTACACAAAGGGCTTTAAGGTCTAATAAAATAAATAATCTATTTCGTCAATTTGTTCTGCTTTGTCTTGATCTCTCAAGCAAGATGGAAATTAGATGTGTGGAACAATAGCTATAATTCTTATCAACAAATGAGCCATTTGACAATTTTGTTGTAAAAATATCGACGTTTTTTATTATCAAATTGGAACGATGTTCACATTCGACCAGAAATCTGTTAACTTGTTTCATTTTCTCTTACACTTTACGAATAAATAAAAAATACAGAGAATCCGCATCCGTTCGAAAGTTATCGTACGGATACGATAATTGAAACACTTCATGGGACAGTTTTGTCACAAACTATACTAATTTTTTGGTCACAATGTTAACATCACGCTTTAAACGGGTAATGTAAAATGTGTAACATTTAATAAACAAGTTGTTAATATCACACCACATTCATAATCGTAAATGTTTATGACCAGATTTGCTCCAGAAAATCTTTCATAGCACTTCTCAGAAAAGAGCAAGCTTAATTTTGTGGAGCTGTTAAAGCAGAAGCCTGAACTATACGTACGAAATCATTTTCACAGTACTTCATCTCCTGATTTGAGCATATCGAATTTGAATACGTGATGATAATGATGGAAGCAGAAAGCATGACTCAGAGATGTCATACTTTACGAGTTCCATGATTGAAAATTCAGATACCAAGTCTGTAACTAAATCCTTAAATCTTGATCCCACTGAGAAATTGAAATTTACGACACGACTTGTGCTCGTGAGTGGTACTTCTCGCATGTGAAATGAAATCTCAACAGCGCTTTCTCAACAATACCGCATTCGCCATCTATTTCTCTACCGCAGAAGACGCAATTCGTCTTTGTCTCCCTTCTAATATTGTAATAGTGGATAATGCTATCCTTTAAATATTCTTATTTACCACCCCTTTAAACTTAATACTCTCATGGAAGCAGTATTTTTCATCCTCGAACTTCCCCTTCGAAGGTTGTACATACTTATCGTGGTTCATGATGATGAAGTACGATAAAAAAAGCAAGTTGCACAAAGGAGGTGCACATTCCTGGATGCATTTTATGTAGGGGCAGTTGTTGGACTCTGGAAAAATCAATTTGTTAAATGATAATTTATTTTATTAATAATATTTATATAGTTAAAAATTAAGTAAAAGTACATTACATAATATTCAGGAAAATAGTTCATTTTCTCAACGGATGAGGTAATTAGGCAGCTCCTCCAACACAATGATTGTCCCTGATTAGTTATGCAGCAATAGATATATTTAGAAGGATGAGTTCGTTTACGCTAAGAATTATGTAATAAATTGGATTGGTTAACTCCAATTAATGAGTAATTATGATATGATATACTTCACTGCATTCTACATCGAATTTACTTTTCCGTATAATTTAGATTAAGGATATAATGAACTGTTATCTCATTGGAAGGCCTAGTACATTAGGATGCATAACTGATGGGCGTAAAGTCATTTACTAGGCGAGAAGGACCATAAATATATAACAATTTTAATTTGATTGGACCGTCGGTCGGTTAATGCCAATCGTGCCAATTTGAGTTCTGACAGAACATATCATTTTTACATATATAGTAATTATGTAACGATTATTTTTTGCAAACAATTTTAGACTGTTTCACGAATAAGAAAGGACTTTTGACAAATACTATTTTATAACTCACATGGAATACAAGAAAATTGTCAAACAGTAAGATTTAAATTCGTAAGGTTAAATAGTCGACAACAACTTTTTCGTGACTACTGCTTTTTGCCTTTTTTTTGTATATTACTTAATATTATATCATTTTTGTTGTCCGCTAACCATTGACGCTCAAAACACTTTGAATTTGGTAAGTCAGGTTTGCGTCTAATTCATAAAAAATGAATACCAGTGTTAACACCTAAAGAAACAAACCTGGAGTGGTTTACAGTTAATAAAAGAGCTAAATTTTCTCTTCCTGTCGACTCCAAAATATTTAAACCACAACAAATAATTTAATACAATGTGAAAATCAACAAGTCACATTTTTAATGAAATTACGAAAAGTAATATACATAAAGTGCTTAATTAAAAGTAATTACATACACAACTAATAATGACGACGGATAAATACATCATTAAAAAAGCCATCCGAGGTCATATGACATGCATACCGTTACAGTACCTTGAATTTATTGTTTGTCATTATATTCCTTGTGAACAACAACTAAGAACCGAGGCTGGATTTTGTAATTAAAAAGGCTTTTTACATGCCGGATACAAATGAACTCATGGCTTTCCTGACCTACTGTAAAGTGGATTACGGATCGGGCTACGCAGGTAAATTACATTTTGTATTAAAACATGAGAACTGCGGTGGACTGATTACTTTTTGTCGCTGACAAACATTTCAGGAAATGACAACCGAGAGAATTATTTATGTCTGATGTCTAGTTGTAATAAAACACATTTTTTAAACACTTGTAGTGCTCATGGGAAAAATATAATTACTCAATTAACAACAATGACGACTTACTTCGCCACTGCACAAACGAGATCGGAAAAGTTACCATTCCATTGAAAATTGCCCTGTAAAAATCTAATCTAGTTGAACAAATAGATAAATTTGTTATCTATTCTGAATCTACACCCTTCCGCACTTAATTAAGGTACTTATTTTTTAAGTGCATTGTTTGTAGTAAATTAGAATATTTTGATTTAATAATTATTTCTCTGATTCAATCGACACGCGCGTAAAATGTAATTAAATACATAGCTACCGTAATCTCAATTAAAAAAATAAGAATCACATAATCATATAATAATAACGTGTTAAAATTCATCTTTCAATTTATTTTCAGGTAGTTGAAACAACAACGAACACAATGCCAATTCATGCATGCTGCATGCATGACACTGAAAATGTTTGCTAGTAAATTATGCAGATTTCTTTTATATTATTCGATTGAGTCTACGACACAAAAGTTGGACGGTCGGAGCCTCATTGCGCATCGTGATGGAATGAAAGGGTCCCATACGCCAATAGCTTCACGTCTTCAACAACATTCTAATTTTGACATGATCAGGTCTCACAAAATGATTTTTCATTATTGCTTAACTTGACCTAGAGCAGCAGGGTAATTAAAATTCATAATCGCAATGATGAAGCAATAATACACAGTTTGCAATGTCAACTGTTGTCATTTCATTAATTGGTGTTTGACAATGTATAATATTTGACAATATGTTATGTAAAACATGATCAAAGGGATCAAAAACTATTTAGTATTTATTTATCACGCAGATCACACCTCTCTTATTTATATAGTTGTTATTATTGAATGCAAAATGCAACATCACACATGGAAAGTTTATGATATGTACATAGAATATGATTTGACAAAGGAACAGAAGATGTGCACATAGTGCAACAACATCGGTCCATTTCACACAATTTGTACAAGTATACCAACGTGGCTAAATATTAGAAAGGGTCTAAATTTAGTAAAAGTGGTCAGCATCTTTACTTATTTTTAGAAATAATTTGTCGACGACCACTTCCCAAGCAAGTAGAAATCTCCACTTTCTCTTCTTGTTATTTTTACATTCTCACTGTCCAGATCGTGTCGTGTCCGTCCAAATCAAAACTGTCTGAAATTTGATTTGGATTAACCGAATGCAATGGAAATGAGTTCATGAGTTGAGTGCAGTCAGTTCATGGCTACTTTTGAAGAATTGTAAATTATTTATTATTGCGTGCCGTACAGCTTTGTTGAAGGTACAAGTACATGATAATAATATATATCTGCATGACTGCCTAGGTCTGTGTCCTAGCTGCTGCTGAGACTATTTCTTATCATGGTACAATAATAACTTGTTGGGATAAATAGTCGTCATTCATTACCGTCTATGGCAGCCTCCTAGCTTTCTGTGAGTACCCACCCAGCACACGTATAGCGTGGATCTTGGTCCTCATCATCCTCTAGCTACGACTATCTCATCATCATGAGGATTGAATAGCAATTTTAAAATGACTCTATATCTGCCTGCCTGACCGACGCGCAACAATGAAGTAACAATCTTCTTATGATTCAACAATCCACTTCTTCAGTCCTTCACCAACCCTGTCACTGAGAGCACCAGAGTCTTCTTGGTGTCTACAGAAGTCCAATTAATCTGCCTCGTCTCAAGTTTCCACATTGATTGAGAAGAAGAAATAATACGTCGAGCCGATAGTTAGCCCAATTAGTGAACACAATCAAACTCTGCGTCATGGGGACGATATGTCGACAAGCGATTCTTCTCACATGCCTGGTAGCGTTTGCAGGTAAGACTTTTATTTTATTGCTGAGGTTCTACTCAGGTGCCGGTTGATTAGTACTAATTCAAGAAGGAATCATTTTCATGCATAAAATAGTCCAGGCCATGTACATACGTCGTAGTGGCTCAAAATAAGGGTGGATGGAAATCAGAGTAGGGTTGCATTGCATGCAGAGTATGGGAATTTGAGACAGCCATCATCAGAGTCGGATATGATGAGCTGCATTTGAGATCGAATGCACAGGATAGAATGCAATCACTGCAATAAGGATTATTATTTGGAGTCTGTTGTTGTGTGGCGTGGTCAATAATATATCAATTTAGGCTGGGAATGTGAAAGTGGATTTCTCATGCACTCTATTACACTGCTACTCCTCCTCGTCATTATTATTACCCTGCATTCTAAACTGTACTTGGAGGAGAGTATTTATTACAGGAAGCAGAAGCAGGGCCACATAACAATTTGTGACATAACAGGGAAGGGAAACAGAAACAAGTCCATCCACAATTGCCCAATCTGTCCTCCCTGTCTACGATTATGCTAATTCTTAATTGTAAAATTTGCCAACCAAATGTCCAACCAAATGGTGAATATCTATGCAAACAAACACAAACATACGTGTTATCTGCGATGCTAATTTGAAATACTGTGAGTCCGTTGACCACCTAAACTAATATATTATGTAAAATGACTCTAGCCGGAGCAAAGCCTGATGATGAGAAGGAACAATTTGACTGCCCAGAACCATCAGGAAATTTTGCAGACCCAGCCACTTGCAGAAAATTTTATCAGGTACACCGGGGTTGATACACCTTCAGAGTCAAGAACAAAATACAAACGCGGAATTGAATATAATTAGCATATTTTATTTTATTTTAATTCTTTAATTCTTTTTTGAACGTAGTGTGTAGATGGATTTCCTTACGAGAGTCGATGCCCGGCCGGTCTTTATTTTGATGATATTAACAAACTCTGCACCTTTAAGGCCGATGCGAGATGTGGACCAATTTCGACAAGTAAATAAGTTGTCTCTCTTTTTAAAAGCTTATTCTCTAAAATTAAAAATTTCTAACCTCCCTCTGACCATCATATCAAAATGCCGGTAGGAAACGCTAAACAAAAGTGCATTCATATAGAAATCATGTATTATTGCAGCTCCAGCCCCAGTCACTGATCCTCCCGTGGACTTGGCCGTGAAATGCGAAACTGCCAATTGTGAATTGCCACATTGCTTCTGTTCCAAGGACGGGACCATCATTCCAGGTCGCATTGAACCCCAGAAGACGCCACAAATGATCATCCTGACCTTCGACGGAGCCGTGAATACCAACAACATTGACAAATACGACAAGCTCTTCGCCCCAAACAGAACGAACCCCAACGGGTGTCCCATAAGAGGAACTTTCTTTGTCGCTCACGAATACGCAGACTACCACATGATTCAGCGACTTCATCACGAAGGGCACGAACTGGCTGTGGACACCATTTCTTCAGCCAAGGGCTTGGAGACTGAAAGCTACGAAAAGTGGGCGCAAGAGATGATCGGGATGAAAATGATTTTGGGCAAGTTCTCCAACGTGTCAGGCGAAGATATCATTGGGATGAGGGCTCCTTACTTGAAACCAGGCAGAAATGCGCAGTATGAGGTATGCTATATTTTTATTGTTAAAAACCAATATAATTTTTTACTGCATATAAATAATTTTTTTCTATTTAATTTATAACTCAATCTCAGGTTCTTCAAGATTTTGGATTCGTTTGGGACAGTTCGGTGGGAGTACCTCCAATCAAAATCCCCGTCTGGCCTTACACCCTTGACTACTCCATCCCTCATGACTGTAAAGCTGGGACATGTCCAACTCGAAGCTTCCCCGGAGTCTGGGAGTTGCCACTGAATGCTCATTTCGTCGAGAGTTTCGAAGGGGGTCACTGTCCCTACATGGACCAGTGCGTCCTCTTCAACCACGACCCTGATCAAGTTCTGGAATGGCTGCAAGAAGATTTCAACCGTCATTATACTCAAAACAGGGCTCCATATATGATGCCATTCCACACCACTTGGTTTCAACAGGCAGAGCTTGAACAAGGACTTGCCAAATTTGTCGATTGGGCTCGATCTCAGTATGTCGTTAAATTTGAAAACCATGTTTATGTGCTTTACTTAAATTAATTATACATTGATTTACTCTACAGAAAGGACGTGTGGTTCGTCACCGTTACTCAGGCCCTCCTTTGGATCACGGAACCAAAGAGTGCCGATCTTTTGACCAACTTTGAGGCTTGGGATTGTAAGAAGAGGACAGTTCCCACACCTCCGTGCAACTTGCCCAACAAATGTCCCCTTGTGTTCCGGAATCCTGGTCAACCCTCCGCCACGAGATACATGACGACATGTTTCGATTGCCCACCGCAGTACCCATGGACTGGAGACTTTGACGGGGACAATCACCAAGAGACGGACATTTACACGAAGCAGAACAGAAAGAAATGATCACTCAATAATAATGCTCAATATTTTAAATGAGAATTTAAACCTATTTTACAATTTAACTGCTTATACATTATTATTACATATTAGTAGATGATAAATGATGATGTGATCCATTCTCCGCCCATTTTTCCAAGGCTCAATAAGGATGAGGTCATCAATAAATGATCATAAGGGAAGAATGTGTACCACAATAAATATCGGAAACAGTATACTACCTTCAGGCTTTGTCTTTTACAATCATTTTATTTACCTATTTTAATGAAAATGGAGAATTCAAATGATAGGCTTTGCAGCCCCATACATTTATATATATATCTAGAATCCAGAATTTGTCGATTTTCATGATCTATTTTAGCGTCGAGTTTATTTGTCATATCTACATTCAGTATTCTACTAGCTCTAATCTATTTAATTATAACGTTTACGACGGAAGGATAATTAGCGAATGGGGAACCAATAGGTCAAGTAGTCCCGGTAAAGAACTCTTTCTGCAAAACCACAATAACATAAATTAAAGTAAGTTTTCAGATGATTTTCACATCATAATGTGAAAACATTTATTTTTTTAGTTGAAACGATTTAAGGTTCTATAATATTCTAACTTTGGAATGAAAGTAAATCAGTTACACAACTGGGGGTAGAAGTTACAAGGGATCTATTTCTAGTACGAATTACCCCCAAAATAATTTTTTTGTAAAATAGAATCGCAATAATATTGGCCTTACTTTGTTTTGGGAAATCCTCCGGGTGAAGACAAATGTAGTGGAACATTTGCAAGTCCCGTTCTGCAGTGTAACTTTCTCTATATTGATGCAGGCACTCGCCTAAGAAACCTCCAGCAATGGAAAATAGTGCCAGCTTATGACTCCCTAAATAAGATAAATCACAAAAAAACACTAAGCAATTGCTCTTTATTTTATTTAGTACTTAAATTAACAAACACTTACCTGCATACCAGGGCCTTTGCCTCATAGTGTTACCAAGGAGTACACTTCCGCCCCCCATAACAACTCCCGACGCAGCCGTCCACCACCGACCCATCAGGGTTCGGGTCTTCCCTTCTGGATCTCCGAGGAACAAGAACGCATCCGGATCTATATTTTCAGGGACCTCGAAGGGAATCTCCTTTAGTCGTGGATGCCTTTTGTCCTCCATAATATTTCTCCTGCTAAGTAAAACAAAAAAATATCTTATTCCATTTCAGTTTCAATCAACTTGAGTACCACCCCTCTAAAACTAACTAACTAAATAAATATATATATTCTTACCAAAATCAAACCCCGTTCCAGGAAGAAAATCAACCAGCCAAGTCTTCAACCTAGAAAAAGAAAGACCACAACAAAAACTTAATTACTTCAATAAAATGAGTCTCCTAGCCTTGATGTAATCATTGTTAAAAAACTATCTAGCAGTTTAATAGAAAATCAAAATTATATATTTTTAAAAAAACTCACCACCTTTGCCAGAATTTTAGTGAAGTGAAAAACTACCGGGATTGTGGAATTCAGCTGACCAGTTTCACTGCAAGGCAGCCGACATTTCTTGCTAGCGGAACCTTCAAATAAAAATGTTGTACGCCCACCATCTACCCTATGCTACCGTCCATCATCTACTTTTTTATCATCTACCTTTCTAAAAATCTCAAATTCCCCAAAAATGTTAAAGTGCCCCAAATCTCCGGAATTTATAAATCCGCCCCCACAATTTTTATGGGGCAACGTGAGATTTTATTTCATATTGGGGTATCGTTCGGTTTTTAGCGAGCGAAGCAAGCAGGTTAGGTTAGATCTGCTAGGTACGGGAAAAGTGTGAAATGCTTAGCTAGCTAACCTAGCTAGCTAGCAGAGCTACCTAGCCTAGCTAGCTAGCAGAGCTACCTAGCCTAGCTAGCTAGCAGAGCTACCCAGCCTAGCTAGATAGCAGAGCTATCTAGCCTAGCTCGCTAGGTTAGCTAGCTATCTAGGTTGTATCTATCCTAGCTAGCTAGGTTGTACTAGCCTAGGTTAGCTGCTTACCTATATTGTATCTATCCTAGCTAGCTAGATTGTAACTAGCCTAGCTAGGTTGTAACTAGCCTAGCTAGTTAGGTTGGCTAACTAAACATTTCACACTTTTCCCGTACCTAGCAGATCTAACCTAACCTGCTCGCTTCGCTCGCTAAAAAACGAACGATACCCCAATATGAAATAAAATCTCACGTTGCCCCAATGTATCTCACGTTGCCCCATAAAAATTGTGGGGGTGGATTTATAAATTCCGGAGTTTTGGGGCACTTTAACATTTTTGGGGAATTTGAGATTTTTAGAAAGGTAGATGATAAAAAAAAGATAGATGGTAAAAAAGTAGATGATGTACGGTAGCATTGGGTAGATGGTAGATGACGGGCGGTACAACATCAAATAAAATACAGCGACTCAATTGCGTTCCCGTGATTACATGTTGTTTTATTTAACAACAAACTAATAACGATTATTTTTGTAATAACTAATAAATACGAAAATTAGTCGTGATTTCGCAGGGAAATTTTAGTACAAATTAAGCAATATTTAACCTATTTTTAAGTGAGTGACTGACGACAAACGATTTGTATTAGATGAGATGAGAAGTTAATTTTTATACACGTGACACCTGATTTAATTTCCTGATCAGGTTTTATAATTTAAGCAAGGTAAATCATTAGTTAATTATTTGAATAAATTGTTTACACTAGCATTGGATTTCGTTATATTGTGTTTTCTGTTCTGCTGCGATTAAATAATGAATATAATTTATTAAATTTATTCAACAAATAAAGGAAAACCGGCAAACATAATACCGGATTAAATTCTAATGAGAGAAATTCATATTGCTAATGACTTATTCTTATTTAATTTTGCAGGAAAATAGTTCTTTACATTTATTACTAGAATGTTAGGACTGGAAATTACCTTACAAAAACCAACTCTGCTAAGAATATTTACAATATAGAATTTGTACACGCTGGCCTATTTGTGGATAGAAGATTAAAGCTATTCTTTACTAATTGAATTAAACAAAGTATCAGGTATGTTGATTTAATGATTAAATTACAATTAAATTTCAGCCACTCAAGTAATAGCCAATTGATAATTGATATAATGTCCGTTCCGTCAGGAATGTAGTTTGAACTAAAAGTGGTAGCACTGTAAAGTTCAGAAGATGAGTACAATCTCATAAACAAATCTAATGCAAAGCATCTTAAGCATACACTCGTCAAATTTTGAATGGCATGCGACAGTATCACAATCTGGCAATTTCCCTATCTTACCGAACGAATGAATTATTATCTGGGAGTAAGAGTTTGGCCAAATGAACTCGATTTTGACGAATAACGTGTACAAATGTTAGTCAGTTGTGCGGTGCACCTTGTTCTACGGAAAAGTGTTTCCTGAAGAATATTCTGTATTTACAATGGTTTGTACTGAATTTGTGAATTGGTTTTTCAAATAATTACCAAATTTTTCTTATATATAAATTACATTACATTACATTCCTCTCATTTTAATTTATTGATTATTATAGTGTAGTTTTGCATGACATCACACTATGTAGTAATCCATAATAAGGGATTAATAAAAATATGTGCTTATAGGATGAGTGATAGCGACGAGGACAACGAAGAGGGGGAAGGCACCGTGTCGCTAGCAGGGTTCCTGTTTGGAAACATAGATATGAAGACGGGCCAACTGGAAGACGACATTCTCGACTCAGAATCTAAACGACAATTAAATGCTTTACAAAAATTTGGTTTGGGATCCATAATCGACGACGTGATGGAAGGACAAGGCCAGCCTCAGCAATGTGAAAAATCAAAGAAATCAAAAACTCGGCGATTGGTATCATCCTATGACTCTTCTTCAGACTCGGACGATGATGACGATGATGATGATGCTCCACAGCCAGTCAGCACCCGTACGGAATCTCCTAGCTTGCCATCTGACCAGGTACACTAAACATGACATGAGCTAGAGTTTTGGTTTTATGAAATTTGTGCAATTCAGAAAACCCATATGAATGGAAATAAGTGAATGCGCAAATTCTCTCCTTCCTCCTAATCTTTATATAGAATGTGATAATAAAATGAATGGTTTGTTCCAAATAGGAATCCAAAGGCGAGGATGAAATATTTGACGAACAAAAATCACCGTCTGCCGTAGATTTCTCAGACATTAATGAATTAGCGGAGGAAGAGTCTTCTGCACTCGCCACCTTGACCTCGGCTTCAAAAGCGTATGACGACGATGATACTGACTATGATGACCCCAACCCATCTTCAGAGGAGGGAGGAAGACACGTGCGACGACTGTTCACTGAGCGAGACGACAAATACCTAATGCCACCCCCTTTAACCACACATATAAAGAAAGCAGCTGGGCCTGGAGATGGAACCACCCCCACCAAAGAAACATCCAGCCCAAACACTTCACCCGTAAAATCTCCTCCTCCCACTTCCGCTCAATCTACTACTTCTGCTGCCGCTGAAGTATTATTGTCTGGAAAAAAGCTCGAGACTCCGCTCGCCGCAATGATGCCTTCTAAATATGAAGGTGTAAATGTGAGTGAAATATTTCCAGAATTCCGTCAAGGAAAGGTACTGCGGTGGGCGAGATTGTTCCTACCTGGTAAATCAAACAGCCTTCCTCAAATTTGGAAGAATGTAAAAAGACGACGCAGAAAGAGAAAAATTCTTGCCGAGGGACAAGCTGCAGCTGACGCTGCGGAAGAAGCAGATAGAGAAAAGCGAGGCTGGGGATTTCAATATGCTGACGACGCCAGCTGTTTTGCAATGGGATCCGAAGACGAGGAAGAATTTCTCAGCGATAACCTAGAGAAACCCAAGAGTGACAATCAAAGAAACAATGTCGAAGGACGATCAATTATTTCAACAAATCCCAACATGTGGCGTCATGGTCCAGCAGAATTATGGTTTGATATGTTGAATGTGGCAGAGGACGGTGAAAATTTTGATTATGGGTTTCAAATCCAAAATCTACGATCTCGCAAAGAAGACCAGGACGAATCCAGCTCGGAGGATGAAGATGCGGGTGACAAGGAAAATTCTAATCTAACCGACGCAGCCTTATTCCCTGGTGAGTCGTTCCACATGCTGACGCAGAGGGACTGGGAGACGGACATTGTGTGGGATGGAAGCGACGCCAAGTATAAGAAACTTACCAAGAACACTGCAGCAGGATGGGTCCCTTCAGGCGTTAATCGGACGGCACAAAACTTTAGCCAACCAGGTGCCAAGGGGGCTCCACCAACGGGAACTGCGACAAATATGACAGGCTCGGGGAAAAAGGGTGATAAAGAAGGTAATAAAACTACCACTAGATACTTGGGCTTAGGTTGGTACAATTTCAATAAAGTGCTGATTTGTCGTTTGAGTTGTCCATCTGTACCTTTTAACATTCTTGAAAAAATTTGTCTTGTTTTAAAGTAAATAGGAACTATTATAAAGTATCTTTTATTTATTGTTCTAAAGTAAAATATGTATGTGAATTTAGTGTAAACCGAAAAAGCAGACCAAAACAATACAAAATTTAGCTTCTTAAAGTAAAATTACTTTGAAATTTGTCGCTTTTCAGGTAAAAAGACACCAATTTCATCACCACGACAATTAACTATTGAAAAAATTCGCAATTCTTTGCTCAACAATTGTACAACAATAAAAATCAAGTCGACCTTGAACACAGAGGCAATCCTCCAGGGTCAGATGAAGAATATGAAAAGAACATTTAGCGACTTTAATCGCTTCATTCCAAACGATACTCGATGCAGGGCAGTTCGACTTGGGACTTTCAAGAAAATTTTTCTTGACATCCAGAAAGGAAGAGCGAAGAAACGTTTTTCTCTTTGATGTCGTCTGCATGACTATAGATTTTTTGGAATTTAGTTGACTCTGATGTTAGTTTTTAAGACATTTGATTGAGGATATTCACAATTTCATAGTTAACTGATGTATTAATAATACAGTATTATTGTGCTTATACCTGAGTCTTAATTTATTTATCTCAATTTCTTCTTAATATACCATTGTTATACAATAAACCAATTTTGTATTTGGAAAGTTGACTTGCCCTTTTCTTAGTAGAAAAAAACTAATGTTTGGGTTCTCAGCTGTTCTACGAATGTCAAATGTAACCGCGTGCGGAAGAAAACGTCCAGAATCTGCACTCTAGATTGCACTGCCACATCATCACCTTTCTGGAGAAAAAAAAACCCACCACCACAACTCGCTGATTGCTAGGAGGAAGACAGGTGCTAGTGGCTGAACTAAATTATTTATTACCAAAGCACTGGAGATTAAGAAATTCCAAACACGATAAAGACAAGCAGAGACTGAGACCGTGACGTGACGAGACGAGCAGCGCATTCCGTGTTCAGCAGCGAGCCAAGTAAGATCGAGAGTGAAAACCAGAGTCATGTGTACGAGTTGTAAATCTAATCTAATCTATTAATGTATCTTCAATATTAAGTTAAATTAATCATGCCACTAGAAGTTATTTGTGGGTGTAGGGTTTGTAAAAGTGGTACTGATGACGACTCAAACGACAAGACTCGTACTGTGTCCGAGTGGGAATTATTGCAGACTGAGAAAGATAAAGACGAAATAAGAAAACGGCTGATTTTCTTTCATTTTTGTGCAGGAGGTCCGATGGCGAGCACTTTTACGTCGCACAGTGGTGGTGGTGGTTCCTCCACTCCGGGTAGTGGAATGGGGGTAAAACAGTCGGGTATCAAGGGGATGAAGGATGGCGAAGGTGGTCAAGTTGATGACACGTGGTACTCCATCTTCCCCGTGGAAACCCCAGAGTTGGTCTATGGGCGATGGGAGGATGAGGTCATCTGGAGTATACAAGAATTGGTGGATGTTCCAGAGCCTAAAGTCCTTTCCCTCGATCCAAACGATGAGAATATCGTGCTCTGTATCCCAGGTGAGAAACAAAATTTAATTTTTGCCAAGATCATATGCTGATTTGTGTATTCATTAAAGTGACAAAAGTACTCTCCGTTCCAAATAGCAAGAGAGTTGGTTACAAGACTTTTTTTTACAGCACAAAGGAGTGGGCTAGCCATTTATCTATATTCTTTGCATGGCATGTTATCATCATACGGTATCAATTGACTCCGCTTGAAATGGGCTAAAAAACTTTGCCTGAAAAAAAATCGTGTAGCCAACTCTTTTGCTATATGGAATACATGTAGTACAATCATGAGATGACAAGTTGTGCGTACTAAGTAACTAGTGTATAAGCCCGTCGAGTTGATTTAGTTAATTTTAAAATTCCACCCAATTAAATGTTTTGCACACAATTATTAGCTGAAACTCTATGCCGACGGAAGTGAAACGAATTTGTTACGAATGTGAAAGTGGAAAGTTGATGAAAGAAAAAATAATAATTTCGAACTGACCATGCCTTGCTATAATCATTGCCATTTCCAATGGGCCATTTGACCCAGTCATCTCTGCCAGTGGCACTGCCATTGCCAATGGCAGTGTGTCTGGCACCCCACTTGGCTCAGCCATCTCTGCCAGATCAAACTGCCTAAGGCACTGCTATTGGCAGTAAGAGTGGCAGCCTACTTGGGTCAACTTGGGTGATTCTTCCAGCCAAGATTGCCATTGACATTGCCATTGGGAGTAAGCAAGCCTGGTGGCCAAGTCTCCTCTGCCACCACAGGCTTCTTCTGGCAACGATAATGGCAATAAGATAACTTGGTAGCAACCCCCCAATAACCACCATGAGGCAGCCACACCCCGATAAGCATCATCAGGCAATAAAGACCCCACTTTCTCTACTTTTACTTCCGTTGCGAACAAATTCCTGTCACTTCCGTTGACATAAGACATTCTCCCTTATATAGATTAAATTATTTATTATTATTATTATTATGACAGATGATGTCGATCCGAGTGCAAGTCAAGGAACGGCAGCTCCAGTCAAGGTGAAGATTCCTCACCCACATGTCAAGAAATCTAAGATTCTGTTAGGGAAGGCTGGTGTTATCAATGTCATTGAGGAAGACAGTCCTCCACCATCTCCAAAAAATAATGACAAGGATCCCTATAATATTTCGAACGATGAATTCTACCTTCCCAAGTTTTCGGAGCAGTCGCTTTTGAAGATTAGTGCATCTGGCAATATTATTCAACATTCTACCCCTGTTGTGGAACTGAGAGCCCCGTTCATTCCCACCTTCATGAGTCAGGCCAAACTTCGAGCTTTTCATCGTCCTGCTATGAAACGATATAATAGCGGTCCGTTGTCCCAGCCCGGTCCACATCCAGTATTCTCTTTGACAAGACATATCCGTAAAAAGGCAAAAGTGAGCAATGTGGAAATTATATTGATTATAAAAGCTATAGTTTCTTAAATAAAATCATGACTTTTAATTAATGTTGTGTATTTTTACAGCAACGGGAACAAGAACGACTTGCTGCTGGAGGTGGTGACATTTTCTTCATGCGCGGTCCAGACGATCTCACTGGAAAGGACGGAGAGCTACTGCTCATCGAATACTGTGAAGAACATCCCCCTCTTCTCAGTCAAGTTGGAATGTGCTCTCGAATTCGAAATTACTACAAACGTCAGGCTGGAAAGGACAAGGGCCCTCCTGAGCTTCCCTATGGAGAAGTGGTCTACGCTCACACAACCCCCTTCTTGGGAATTATGCAGTCTGGCTCCTGCATTCAGACTTTGGAAAGCATGCTGTACAGAGCACCCATTTATCAACATCCAGTAATACACTCGGATTTCCTGGTCATCCGAACTCGTCAAAATTACTTTATTCGGGAAATAGATGCATTATTCACTGCAGGACAAGAGTGTCCGCTGTTTGAAGTACCTGGTCCTAATTCAAAACGTGCAAATAATTTTGTTCGGGACTTTTTACAAGTCTTTATTTATCGTCTGTTTTGGAAGAGCAGAGATAGTCCACGCCGTATTCGAATGGAGGAAATCAAACGAGCTTTCCCCATGCATTCTGAGAGCAGTATTAGGAAGAGGTTAAAACTCTGTGCCGACTTCAAGCGTACGGGGGTTGATTCGAATTGGTGGGTTATCAAGCCAGAATTTCGATTACCCACAGAAGAAGAAATCAGATCAATGGTTTCCCCCGAACAATGTTGTGCCTATTGCAGTTTGATTGCTGCAGAACAGCGACTAAAGGTAATTATGTAAACAAATACGCATATAATATATACACATGTGTTTGGCGACGAAAAATTTGAATGCAATTTTGGATTAAATTAATAATAGTATGTTCACGTTTCTATTTCTCTAGGATGCTGGATACGGTGAAAAATTCTTATTTGCTCCCCAAGAAGATGACGACGACGAGAATCAAAACAAGATTGATGACGAAGTCAAGACTGCACCATGGAATACAACTCGTGCATATATTCAGGCTATGAAAAACAAGTGTCTCCTCCAACTTACAGGCCCAGCAGATCCAACTGGTAAATATTAGTGAATTGGATGTGGTTCGACAAGAAAGTTTACTAATTAAAATTATATATTTAGGATGTGGGGAAGGTTTCTCTTACATTCGCGTCCCAAACAAGCCTCAAACAAACAAAGAAGAACAAGAAGCACTTCCAAAAAGAATTGTGACTGGAACAGATGCAGATTTGCGTCGGCTGTCCTTAAACAATGCAAAAGCTTTACTAAGAAAGTTTGATGTTCCAGAAGAAGAAATCAAAAAGTTGTCAAGATGGGAAGTCATTGATGTTGTTAGAACATTGTCCACAGAGAAGGCCAAAGCTGGGGAGAAAGGAATGACGAAATTCAGCAGAGGAAACAGATTCTCCGTGGCTGAACACCAAGAACGGTACAAGGAGGAATGTCAACGAATCTTTGAACTTCAAAATCGCGTCCTCTCCAACAACGAAGTTCTATCGACGGACGACGATGAGAGCTCGGACTCCGAGCTTTCCGACATTGAAGAAATGGGAAAGAATATTGAGAACATCATTTCAAACAAGAAGACCAATACACAGGTGAACTTGGAGAAAGAGGAGCAAGAACGACGCGAGCTACAGAAAATGATTTTAGGTATGCTTAACCCTTAATGACGCCATAAACATGTACATTAATTTTCCACGATGGTATTAATTTCACTAATTTTACTTACAGGAGAATCAAAGGACGATGATGACAAGTCTCCCCGGAAGAAACGAAAGGAGGACGAGGAAAATCTGACTCTCAGCGGATTAGTTAATCATCCTGGCCGTGTATTGAGAATTCAGAGAACTTTCCGTACTCCCGACGGCAAAGAATACACCAGGATGGAAACAGTACGAAAGTCGGCCATTATTGACATATACATGCGCATCCGTACAACGAAAGAAGAATCATTTATTCGCCAGTTTGCACTGTTGGATGAGCAGGCCAAGGAAGAGCTGAAGAAAGAAAAACGTAGAATTCAAGAGCAACTGAGACGAATCAAGAGAAATCAAGAAAAAGATACAACAAAGCCCACTCCAGCTCCTCGGAAGAAGAAGATAAAGTTGAAACCGGACTTGAAAATGAAATGTGGGGCTTGTGGTCAAGTTGGTCATATGAGGACGAATAAGGCATGCCCACTCTACAATTCTTCCGGAAATTCTCCTCCTCCATCACAAAATGTATCAATGTCACAAGAAGAAGAGGATGAACTCCTGGACAAGTCACTCCCCGAAGACGATGAGGAACTTATTCGTGTTGAAGGAACAAAGGTTCAACTATCTGGTAATTTACCATTTTATAGAAGAGATTTTATTACCCACCACATAATGAATGTATATCGTGCATACATATATCAATGAACGACTAAATTGTAATTGTTATATTATGTTTCAATAGGAAAACTAATGAACATGGTGTACACGGAGGATATAAAGAGACAGTCTTTGGTGCTGAAGGTTCCAAAGGGAACTGTCCAAGGCGGTCATTCTGGTCATCGTGGAAAGAAAAGGAAAGCTGCGTCCAGTCCACACTGTGATTACCTCGCGAAAAAGAACCAAAAAACCAACCGACGAAGAATCGATCCTGTTATTGTGCTATCTGGCATATTTGAACAAATTCTCAATGAACTCAGAGACATGCCTGATAGTAGCCATTTCCACTTCCCTGTAAATAATAAAGTATGTGCACTACGTCCTGCTGATATTTGACATATCAAAGCAACAATTCTAATTATTGAAATCACTCTTAGTTCTTTCCTGATTACTTCGACCGTGTGCCCAACCCCATGGATCTGCGTACAATCCGTGAAAGAATAATCGAGAAAAAGTATCAACTTACATCTGACTTTTTGGGGGATGTATCAAAGATCTATGAAAACTCCGTCATATACAATAGTAAGAAAATAATAATAATAATTTCTTCACATTTTGCCTTCCGTAATTATCTTATAAATATTTTATTTATTCCAGCATCAAAATCACTCATTACAGAGTATGCTCTGAATCTGGTTAACCTCTGCAAACAGAGACTAAAAGAAAAGGCTGAGCAATTGGAAAAATTAGAAAGGTTGATAAATCCACTATTGGATGACGACCAGGTAATGTGGTAGCATAATTTTTTCATAAACTCACAAGCTTAAAATTGCCGATCAGAGTTATTCAAATTTGGTTTATGCCATATGCTTACAGGTTGGTCTTGCCTACATTTTGGATCAGTGTCTTGCTAAGCTCAAAGGTGCACAAGAAGCATTTCCATTTTTGAAACCGGTAGACAGGAAAAAGGTGAAAGATTACTATGACTTGATCAAAACACCAATGGATTTGTCTCACATGGAAGATAAGAACAAAGGTATGAATGGGGTTCTTTCTTTATTGTAATTATAAAAACTAACTCCAATGAATAGATAAATTAAATTTATCATTTTACAGCAAATGAGTACGAGTCAAGACAAGAGTTTTTGAGCGATCTTCGTCAAATCCATATCAACGCTGAACGATATAACGGCGAATTATCTGTGTTCACCAAGAAAGCCTCCGAACTGACCAACATTGCGACAGAGTTTTTGACTCAGTTCAACGACCAGTTGAAAATATTCGAAGCAAATATTGAAAAGTCTAAATCCAAAATGTTCGAAGAATTTGGCAATCCCGATGACACATTTGGAGACTCTCAAGACGGCGATGGATATGATTCCGACGAGGATGACGAAGACATGGAAGTGGTGCCAGCTCCCGTGAGACTATACTTCTTTAATTCAATTATTATATACTTTAATATAATAGCATGTCTTATCGACGCGTGCATTTCAAATACTAATATACTTTAAATTTTTTTCAATAGGACGAAGACGACTACGAGCAGAGTGCGTCGGCCGCTGCCGTGTCAGGAATTTTAGAAGAGTCTGAAATTTTGTCCGACGTAGGTGCGGACATTTCAATTTCACAAGAGAGAGAAGAAGGTGAGGTTAATTATTTATTTTGGTATGCGTTTTGATAGTTACGATGGTAGTGCTAAAATGCTAATATTTACACATGTATTAAATTCAGGAGAATATGTCAGCGACGAAGACGACTTTAGGGCACTTTCCAGCAGCCCCATAAGACATGATGAGGACAGGTCAGTCATGGACGAATCCATGTTACTAACCAGCACGAGTCATCACCACCGTAAGCCAATTATGAATACATGTCCATACCTCATTACTTGTACACTCTGCTTTATTTCTTTAACTAATGGTAAACTAACCATTTATCTTGTGAACAAAAGATAAACCCTTTGGAGCTGAGACCCCTCGCAACATTCACGACGATCTAGAGGTCAGCGACTCTGATGATGATGATGACGATGATGATAACGAAGACCAGTCAGGACGGGCTAGTAAGCAGCAAGAAGAGCGACCCATCGACGATCGGGATATATGGTTTTGAACCAGTACTATTATAATCTCTAATTAATCGATTATTTTTTTAAAGCTTCCACACAGAAACACTTTCTTTTAAAGTTTAGTTTATATGATATGTAAACTATTGTATTTAATTAACTTTATTGTTTCGTTAAACAATATTTACATGCTCATTATATTTGAAATATTTCAGACTTCAGAATACAAATAAATATTTGTAACACTTGACCAGCTTAGTAAAAAATCCTACTTATTATTTCATTTTATCGTTTTTATTCATACATTTATCAAGCATAAATTTCTTAAAAAGCATAGAGTTATTAGTTCTGGTTACCGAGTTTTAGTTTAAAAAACAATTTATTCATAAATAAAAATAGAAAAAGAAAGACATATTACGCAGTGACGGAGTCACTCTGTGACATGTAAAAATTCATACATATTCAATAAGTTCATAAAACAAAAATCACCAAACAACTGGGAAATTTCTATTTACGAATATATTTACGAGGAACGGCAAACTTGCGCACTTTTTGCAAACGTAATAATTCGAACTATGAATGACTAGATGTGAGTATTAAATCGGACCGAAAAATGTCGATTTCGATTTGGACCCTCCAATAGCCGAATATGTGGGAATTTATTTTTAAATTTCCTATGCGACGAGATGAGATGAACCGGATGGACATCATGTCATCTCGTGACCTACTTTGTACGAGTTATAACTTAAATTGCATATCATCTTCTTCTCACATTAGTTGAGATAAGCTGGCTCGTTTTAAATTCAGCATACATATTTTAATTCGGATTAATTAGATCATTGTAAAATACCGATTACAATTCTAATAAGCTTTAATGACTAATGTTAATTTAGGAGTCCGAAATTCGGACTTTAATTGCATTTAATTGGACCTCAAGTTCTCGCATTGCAATCTCATCACAAGATGGACACCACCAGACATAAGAGGCGGTGAGTATGAATTTATCCAGTTGCGCCCTCTGGCAGAGACACGCTTCTTGCATAACTTTACCAATTTTTCAATTATAGCCACCTCAGGTCGGTCAAGCTATTGAAACTTTTATGACCTTCTGACCCTGTGAGTAATACTGTAAAATGGGCGAAATAATGGTCATCTCTTAAGGCGTTGAGGGGGCAAAGGCGGGATCTCATTTTACTAGTAGCACTTAACCCCAATCATAGCTCAAGTTGCCTTTTTTGCATACGTTATTGGCTTGTTTTCCCTTTCTTCTCGCAGTAGCATCAGGAGTCCTGATTCAGGAGGAACAGACAGCAGCAGTAAATATTATTGTATTAATAAAAATTGTTTATTATTAATTTAGGATAATGACTGTGTTTAAAGTCATTATCCTTGGATATTGTTCATATTAAGTAGAGTGGTTTGTGCTGTGCCGTGTCATCGTTAACAGAGATGGCTCAAGGCTGTCAAGATGACAACTCTGCAGGGCCAGAGTCGGAAGAAAAGAGGACAAAGGTGCTTGATGGGGTCACTCCCAATGGTCAGGCTGAGGAGGAAATGGACATAATTTCAGAAGTCACCAACAACCTCAACGACAGTGACGATGAAATGAAAAACGCCAGTTACGAGGAGACTGGCGATACATCCGAGATTGATCCGTTGATACAAATTAATGGCGATGGGGAAGTGCATCACGAGAGTGACGAGGAGGAGAAGGAAGAGGAAGAAATTAGTAAAAGTGGTGGAGGTAATGTGCACAAAGAGAAAGATTTAGTTGAAGAAGGATCTAAGATCAATGGAGACGTTGAGGATGATGAAGATAAGATGATGGATGAGGACATCGATGATCAACCCAAAGATAAAGTTAATGGTGACGTAGAATCTGGCAAAGGAGAGGGCAATAATTCTAAAGGGGAGGAGGTCTCAAAAATTTATAACAACAGCAATGGTAAAAATGCTTCTCGTCTTAATAGCGACAAAATTCAGGAGGAAAACAAAGATTCTGACGACTCTGAGGTGGAAACTATCCTCCAAAAGATTCCTAATAATAATAAAGAGCCTGATGAAAATCAGATGGATGTTGATGACGAGGATGATGGACCAGCCAATCCGAACATTGACTTGAGGTCAACCTCTGTGCTCGACACAAGCTTCAGTAACAGAGGTTCGACACCCACCATCATTGGAGGCGACCTAGAGAGTGAGGCTCGAATTCAAAATGAGGAAAGACTTTCGAAAAATACGGGGGACTCGGATGACGATTCAGGAGTTATACGAATTAGAGATATCGGATCGTTGCGCGGAGATGAAGACTCGGACGATGATGTTATTGAACTCTGTTCGACTTTACCAAAAAATAAACCACCTGCGACAAGCGTGTTGAACGAAGACAACGAATCAAATTTTATCATTCCGGTTGATCATGACACTGCAGATATACGCTCTGATGCTTTAGATAGTTTGAATATGGATCATGTTCCAAATCAAGTTCACACCCCGTATGTGTTGGACAGTCCTAACAACAGCCTTCTCCAGTCATTCTCCATGTTGTGCACAACAGACGTTACGACGCCATCGGTGCCATTATCTGTTAGTCGTCATATATAATATTCTCCAGTTTGCTTAATTTGAATGATTTTACATGCTTTTTATGTTTCAGGAAAAGCAAAGAAAGTCGCTAGCCTTGTGTAAGAAACTGGGGGAGTTGAGCAACATGTTGAAAAACTTTGAGAAGAAGGGCCAGAATGGGATATGTGTTCGTACCAGAGAAACTCCAACAGTTATCAACGTCTCAGCAACCGGAGCCATTACGTTGGCCCCCTCTTCACCAAACGCGAATCAGTCGACTGCTGGACAAGCAACAACTGTCCCACAACAACAAGAAGGGAATAACACATATTCCGGCCAAAGATTTGTTAGACTTGATGCTAACTCGTCACAGCAGAACTCTAACACTGTTCGGTGTATAGTAACGTCACGGGGCCTTGAAAAAGGTAGTAACATTATTTCACAAATTCTTACACTTGTTGCTATTCATTGTTATATCATGGTTCACTAATTTTATTCTTCGCAGTTTCTTCAGTGCCAACAATGACAACAACAAATCCACTGAGAACATACTCAGGGGCTGGTAACAGGCCCACAATATTAACCTCGTCAACGAGTAATCAACAGCAAGGTTCAAATTCAGTATCTCGAAATATGCATCAAGTTGTCTTTGACCCAAACACTGGACTATTGCTGTGTCCCACGACCCAAGCTCGTAAGTTTGTTTAAAAAAAAAATATGTATTTACCAAATTTGTAAAAGTAAAATTGTGAAATTCGATAAATCTTCTTCTAGCGCCTTCAACAGCAGTTACTGCATCACAGCAATTTGCTAATGCAAATTTACGGCAGTACAGAGCGGTTCAAGCTCCCCCACACTTGATTGCCTCTCTCAGATCTGGTTCTCTGCAGCTGAATCGACCTGCTGCCCCCCTCATGGTAAATGGCACATCATTAACCAGAGTTGTTCAACAACCGCCAGCCACCAGCATCGCCTCAACCATGATGAATGGAGCAACGAATGTGAACAGTTTGTCTTCAAACACTATCCGCCAAGATAAGACGACGCCTGTACAAATGACAGCGTCACAAAACTATATTCAACAACAGCAACAGAGTGCCACTGTGATTACGCCTCCTTCAAATATGTCGCAACCAGGAGCTCAAAGAATGAGGTTCCCAAATATTTCCGGACAGAACTCTGTGTCATTTGCACAGACTGCTTCAAATATAATTCGTTCATCCGTCCCCCGACCTAAGGCTGCGCAGTACACGTCGATTGCCCCCAAAGCTCCCGGATCTAGGCCAATCTACCAACCACCAGCAACTGCGGCTCCAGTCTCAGCAGCATTTATTAAGCGACCACATGCTGAAGCAAATAAGCCGATTGAATTAACTAGCATAACTCCTAGACAATCAGCCGCCACCAACAACACCCCCAAAAATAATAATCATAATACGAATACGCCTAATTATAAAGATAAGGGTCCCAGCGCCAAGACCTTCCCCTCTTTGGTTGTGGTTGTGAAAACTTACCTACAAGAAAAACTTACTAAACCTCAATCAAATACAGTTAGAAGCGAGTTAGGTAAACAGGAATACTTGCCATACGAAATATGTTTAAAATGTGCAAGGTAAAGTTTAAAACTTATGAAATTTTGTTTGAATATTTTAGATGCAAAAGTGAAGAACATTTTAATGCAGTCACCCGTAAAATTTACGGAATGGCTGATTCAAAAGGGTCTGATAAGGATGGATCACAAATGTGAAGATCATAATAATCCTTACAAACTGGGAATGTATTCCGACAGTGACAAGTATCCTCACAGTGGGGGCTATGTGTTCACCGCAGATTGTTGTTTAGAGAAACAGCAATCTGTCTTTCACGGATCAATTTTTGAAGCCTCCGTCTACCCTCCATCCACTACGATGAAGTTAATTTACCATTGGGCTTGCCAAACTCCAGCCCCAAGCGTTCTGCAATGGGTCAAGGTTAGTAAGAACCTGTTGAATGATTTTTGTTAAGTTAATGAATATAGAAATTACTTTTAATCTTTTTCAGGTTAACAGTTACTATCTGAAAAATTTCTACACTCTGTTACGCAGTGCTTGTGTGGCAGCACTTCACGAGAACGCATCAGTAATGGGAGGCCGTGGTAAATACATTGAAGTAGGAGTCGTCACCCTCGGAACATTGCCTGGGGTATATTCAAAATATTGCTTAGTTATGCATTTGAGTTTCTAGAGTTATTAAGGTGTGAAATATATCCTTATTTACAGATGCAAGTAGACGTGGTTAGACCGATGCAAATTGAAATTCTTGGAGTGTTCGATCCTGGGGCTAAATTTATTAGAATGAAATTACTCAACGTCCCTTCTACATTGGTACGTGAATATGTTACTTGAATACATTGATTAACTGGTCTGGTGCTATAAATTAATTATATACACATTTTTTTAGGTCGGAGATGTGGCCAAGCGTGAAAGGATTGATCAAATTTTAACTCCTATAAGCACTTGGGTTAACCGCGATAGTGTTCTTCTCATTGATTCTTCGCTAGATAAGGTACAAATTTTGCTTCATAAAAGTAGACCTCTACAGAATTTGCTAATTGGTTATTGCTTCTCTGAATTTAACAGACTATGGTAGAAAAATTAGGATTTAGAAATGTCAGCCAATCCAAAACACCTGTTGGTGCCCCAGTTAAGACGACTATTCCGACTAATGTCAACGTAATGAACTATCTCAGAAACATTGTCCCAAAAATGTTTCAAGTAAGTTTCTGGAATTAGAGATTACAATTCAAGCAGTTACTAATATTATTTCGTTTCATTTATAGAATACATTGTGTGTTCTAAGCAAAAGTCTGATACAACAGTTCCTAGACGAGCTATCATGGCGAGAACTGTGGGGTTCGCAACCTTTAAAAGCATTCGATACAGCCTTATTACATTTAGCGGCCATGACAAAGGCAGACACAGGAGAACTCCTAATCCCTCGACTAAACAAGATTTCTTTAAATCCATTTGCTGAATGGTCATATTCGAAACTACTGCCACCGCCATCTGGAATTGAATGTCTCCCAGACAGCATTAGAGCACAGCCCTTGTCTGACCTCGTTGCAAGTGCTGTTGGAATGGACGGTGGGATTTCCAGTCTTGTTTCGACATACATGAACAGCTCAAAAAACAGCGCCGCTGCAAAAGGTCTCACTCCAGATTACAGCAAGAAAACGACTGCAAAACCTGTTGGGTCAAAACGAAAGGCTGATGATGACGTAGCTTTAGATTTGCAAAAAATTCTTCGTGAAAATCCAAAAACACACACACTTCAAGCATATTACTACGTTTATTGTCCTTCCCCTGTGGACAAGTACAGAGTGGAATTTCCATCCAATCTGAAGGTTATAATTATTTTTTAATTTATTTTATAGTTTAAAATATAAATAAGAGTGTGAAATAATGTTTTATGGCTAGTTTTGTATTTTGATTCGTATTTACAGTGCCCGCTATGCTCTAAAGTTCTTCGAAATAATACGGATGCAATTTCACATCTTACCCGTCACGTTCTAAGTGCTGGAAGAATTACAACGAATCCTCATGGATGCCGCTATTGCATGAAAGAACTACCGACCCAAGCCTTACTACAGACCCATATAAATTCAGTACGTTACTAACGAATATTTAGTTATATTCTAAATTCTAAGATGAGGGAATATTGTGTAAAACGCTTGTCTCCGTACGCTTCACAGGTGCACAAGAAGATTGGGGAAGTCAACGTTTGTCAAATCTGCCTCACTAAATATCCATCAGAGACAATGTTAATTATTCATATGTGGCAGCGTCATGTGAATTGCGAAGCCCCATATCGATGTGAACTTTGCGATTATCGTACCTCATTTCATTATGATAGTGTTGACCATTTCTTTAAGGTAAGAACTATCAAAACAAAGATACAACTTAAGTTACAGTTTATTTGTAGTATACTATATTTTATACATGATATAGGAACACGGTGGATCTGATACTGTCCAGTGTCCAGTTTGCCTAAAGACGTTTGCCTGCCGATCCATCCCTTGCCTGAAAAGCGTTGTTACACATCTTCAAAATCATATCCTTCGCAAGGGCAAAAAGTGTCAAGATTGTTGCCTCACGTTCTCGACAGACTTAGATTTCCGTGCACATCTCGTAGCTGATTCAGCTCATCAGAGCAGAGCCACAAAAAATTTCGTTCAACACGAGGTTGACGATAATCCAATCAGAATGCCAAAACCTCCACTGGTGAACAAGGATATGAATATTCCACCCCCAAAGAAAACAAAGACTCGAAAACTTTCTGGGGCAAATCCAAATCTAACTACGTTAAATACTAGCTTTGCCGTTCCATTGAATCCTTGTGACAGATACATGTTTACACCAATGAACATTAACATTAGTGATGTTACTAAACATTCTAATATGAATTGTTGGGAGTGTGGGAAACCTATTCATCTAATAGGCCATTACCGGTATGTAAAATATTATGTTCAAACTTCTTGGCCCAATCTCCTTGATTTTTTGGCAATATCATCATGAAATTATTATACTTTTCAGAGGAACCATGAAATGTAGCCGATGCCGATTTGAAACTTGTTGTAGTTACAAAATACAAAAGCACGTCCAATCTCACGATGTTACTGAACCGAATGAAAGTATCGCCAAAGCCAAAATGTTCGGTATGTCAAAGGCACTAAATGATGATTCGACTACCCTCGAGTGCTCAGGATGCTACTTTGTTAGCGGTAGCTCAAGGCGATTTGGTAAGTGGCAAACCATAGAATAATTCCAGTTACAAGAATCAGTAATATAATTGCGTATTTTATTCTCAGCCTATCATCTGCTAACTACTGGACACAGAGCCTGTGGACCTAAAAATTGTCAGGAACAACCAATATGCACCGTGGAAAATAATATTGCCGATCCTCAATAACATAAGCCATCACCAATTTCCAATTTTTTTAAATTTCAGTTGTTGAATTACATTATAATTGTTTTACATCATACGTGTCACTCTGTCTAGTTTTGTGAACAGAATGAATTGAATTGTGATTGTTTTGAATATTATATAGGGTGGTGGGTAAATACATACTGAGGGTGATCGGTAAACCATTTAGCCTAGGTGCTTCCTTCGGCGCGGCTCGCGCGCACACTTTTGACCAATTTCACGTACGGACGTGAAGTTGTAGTCACTTATTTCCTTATGTGAAAATTTAAAATATCTAACTTCAACATGTACGGAAGCATACATAAACCAACCTTTCTTTGATATCGAGGGGGATCGTACAGGTAATAAAAGTGAAGGGAAGACGACCAGCCAAGCCACTGCTCCATGCAAACGTAATGAATAGCAAAGGGAATTTTCATTAAAACAAAATACTATTGTTACAAAATTTCTTGTTTGGCCCGTCAACCATGCTAGAAGAGTATCCAAAACGGTACGCAAGGGGCTTCCGAGGAAATTGACCTCCATGGCCACCTTTGTGAAGACAGACCCCCAGCACTACTCCTTTTATGTTTTTGGCTATTTGAAACAGCGCCTGTTTTCGAGAAAAGCAACTACCCTCGACATAGTTTGGAAAAAAGTTTGACGTTGGTCTCCACTCTGCAAAATTTGAAATTTTGCACACAAGATGATAATTCTATACTCCTAGAATTTCTGCTAGTGAAATAAGCTCAAAGTGTGTGTGCGACCCGAGAGCTTGGCTAAATTGATCATCCTAAGAATTCACATTTATGAAAGGGAAAATAACCCATTTGTATATTTAAAACCCGATACATTGCAAGTATTTGCAACATAAATAGAATATAAGTATGTAGTAATAAGTATATAGTAATAAGTATATAAATAATAAAATATTTGCTAATTAATCAGTCAAAATGACAATTTTAATTGCCTTTCCATTCAACGATTTTTATGAAATACAAAAACAAGTGTATTAACCCATTTTTTGGTTTCAATGACGATAGCGCACTTCTTGATATACAATATAAGCAATAAAAATGTGAAATAAATAAGCACAGTACTGAATAAAATTTCTAGAATTTTGTTTATTTGGTGTAACTATACGCGTTGTGTAACAAATTTCGTTGAAAGAACATTACAGTTCTCTCGTAGATAATCATAATAATATGTAGCTTAATTTGTTGTTCAACGACCATTCATGCATTCGTGTCGCGTCACTTGAGTTATCGGGCATTGTATAGAGCTGTCAATTTTTAGATTATTTTTGGTATATTAAGGAAGGTTAAAAATTTGTGTTTTCCGTTGTGTTGGTCATTATTTGAGATTGTGCAGCAGACTCTGATAAAAATGTCACAATTGTCAGGCAGTACATATTAGTTAAAGGTACTCAATAGATATTTTATGGTCACACGGTTGGAAACCATGCGTAAAGTATATTTTGCATACGTTCCTCACTCAAAAAACGACGATAGTGTAAACCAGAGAATGAAATACTATTAGTTATTTATGAATTTCATGCTGTACAAAGTCTCAACAATAAAAACTAGCTAATGAAGTATATATTTATGTATGTAATTGTTACCAAGTCTAATCTATATCTTATGCGCTCCGCGTCGTCAAATTGTACAATATTAAGTGCAAACACAAAGAATAACATAATAAATTCGTAATTTGAGATAGGTCAGAGAAGCTGCTGCTGAAGAAAGGAGAGCAGAACGGTTTCGTAGTGCTCACTTGCATCAAGACGACGCAAACTATGCCGCTCGCAAGGATATAGCTGCAACTGGTATGGCTTTCCCCACCTGACCAGGGCGTTAAGAAGTTCTGTATTGTGCACAAACAAAAATATGTTAGTTTTATCTCCGCTGAAAATGGCCCATAATTTTTTAGACAAACCTGCAGTATGCACGAAATGAACATTCTCATCACTCATCCCATGGACCAAGAGCAATCGTCCAACTTCGTCCGGAAATTGGTGTGCATAAGTCAATACAGACCCCTCCTTGTAACCGACAGGGTTATTTTGGGGAAGGTCCATGTATCGCTCGGTGTATCCGGAATCATAAAGTTCCCAAGACGTTACAGGTGCTCCAGCTACACAAACCTGTTGAAAGGAGATAAAATGTCAAACTTTTTACAATAACTAGATGGTAAATACTTAACACCTATACACATAAACAGATGTGTATAGGTGTGCGAGTAGTCGTATACAATTAGAGGTTGGTTAAGTAATTTGTACCTTGAACAGTTTTGGAAAGTGAATGAGACCCATCAAACTAAGGTAGCCACCATACGACCATCCATAAATTCCAACTCTAGTCAAATCGATGAACTGATCTCTCTTTGCAAGCCATTCTAAAACTTCGACTTGGTCATTTAATTCTACCGTACCCTGCGTTACACAAATTTACTTATTTTTGCATTAGTGAAATAATTTGTAATTAATGTAAGTAATATGTCTGACAAAATTACTAACCATGCGTCGACGAATATGGCTTTCAAACTGGACTCCGCGGTGATGCGAGCCTCTTGAGTCTACTGATACAACGCAGTAGCCCTGTGATGCCAATAAGTACAACCAAAGCTGTCCAACCCCCTGAAAAATAGTGCAAATCAATAATAACTTATAATCCCCCTCACAAGTAGCAGCAGTAAGTTTAAATAAAAATATACATATGCTTACTCTGAACGAATTATACACCAGTTGCACCTCGGGACCTCCATAAACGTTTAAAATTGTTGGATACTTCTTTTTTGGGTCAAAGTCGAACGGCTTGTATACCTGAGTGACAAAATACCTTTTCCAATGAATAACTTATGTTGTAGAAATTTTCTTCAAACAACTACTTATTGATTATCAAATATTACCATGGCGTATAAGTCATCGCCGTATTCATTTTGATAACAATAAATGTCCGGAAAACTAAAGGACGGGTCCACATCTACATGTGTGTTTAAAAAATTGGATTAAAACTCATAAATCCAATGGGGATGTCCGTATTTCCGTATATTAATAATCTAATTACTTGGGGGTTCTGCTAAGTAGCTCAGAGGCTCAAGGGTGACGCCATGAATAGAGCTGTCCGTATAGTGAACGCGGTGAATGATGCAAACGGGAGGATCTTTGACACTGCTATAGGTCAAAATGACGAGGGAACATTCCTCGTTAAAGTACGCAGTGTACGAATGCCCAGGAGTGGTGAGCCTTCTTATTTCGCCAGGTTGGTTGGTGGAAACGACATACAAATGTCGCTCGATCGGGCTGTCCTTAAGTCCCATAAGGAATATCAGCCCAACATTGTAACGCACTGCTATTGCAGAATTCATCACTTCCCAGTCTCCTGATGTCAGCGCGCACTTCATGTGAACTTTAGGTGACAAGTAGAGGGCTGAAATTATGCAAATTTACTATGTAATGCAGTATAGTATATATATACAATTATATGACCAAATAGAAGATTTACGTGGATGGCGTGCAGTTGGCCAAGAACTCTCAATTGCTGGGCGCATTTCGGATTTTATGAGATACAAATGCCGATGCCCGGACTCTTCGCTTGCCCACAAAAACATGATCATCTTCGGGTCGTCACAAGGGAGGAAAGCAAGAATATCGTGGACATTAATCCATACGTCAGTTCGTTCAGCATAAACCACATAAACGGGTGCAGTTGGTAGTCCATTTTCCGCCGTGCAATTATCTCCATTTCCCGAGACAATTTCAGCATTGTCAGTTATGTTTATGTTTGTGAGTGTAAAAGGAAAAATAATAAGTTCCAATCGTTGCTGTTGTCGGTCCAACAATTGTGTCCACACACTATAGCAATTAATTAATTATAAAATAAAACATACACGAGCATAAATACATAAGTAACTTCGATCGTGATGATGAATTATTTAACAATCTTACTGAGTGCCTTCTGGAACCCATCCCGCCCTGACTACGTATTCAGCCCATGGAAAAATTTGAGGAATTGAGTACATCAAATCAAAGTTGTGAATGTTTTGGATTGTCTGTCGCATATCCAATTCAAACTGAACAAATCTTAAGGTTGATGTAGCATTGGCTGTTCCAGGCGTTGGAAAACGATACTTTTCAGGTTCGCGTCCTGGTAGTGTGAGCAAACTAACCAGGTTAACGCTAGACTCGTCAACTTCTTCATACATCAGGCGATACACGTTTGCGTCGCTTAGGTTGCCTGATAAGTCATTAAAAAAGACTCATTAGTTTGATCATATATATTAATTGCTTATTACTAGTTTAATATTTTTTGTACTGTCTCACTTTTATCACGACTTGCAGGCTGCCACCAAAACCCTTCAAATCTATTAAACTCTTCTTGAATAATGTACGACGGTAATCCAGCACTCACAGGATCTTCTTCAATGTTAACATCATTCGTGCGAGCAAATGTCAGCCTTTTTTCATCACCTGAAATATGTACAGACATACATAAAATCAATTAAACACTAAGTAGTGTTTCTATATGTCGCAATTGAACTCGGATTTGCTTCGGCAAAATAAATTCTTACCCGAGAAACAATTTACTACCCAGATATCTCCGTCGTTAACAAATGCAATTAGATTTGAATTGTCGGGACAAATAGTGGCATTCATACGGGCTCCGGTTGTCTCTGGCGTTCTTATTTCCGTCGGTGAAAGTGGGTATTCCTGAAGCAGAATAGGTTGGGTTTCTTATGGTAAATCTAGAACTTTCTAGAGATAGATATTTAGTTAGACTTACAGTTACTGCAACATCGTCTACACACTGGTACAGCGAGGAAGAGGCTGTGAAAACAAATTTGGCAGTAGGTTCGTGAAATTCATAGTCAGCTATTCCTGTCGGGGTCATTCTTTTCCGCTCCATCATCAATAATTCAGCTTTCGTATGAGGTATCCCACCCTGTAAAAAGATGACAATCGATTTACTCCTTGGAATAATATAACGCTTCCTTGCCTATATATTAAGTATTGCCTTATTATTACATTGCATACCGGAAATCCCGACGCCAGGATCTGAATCCACGGAAATTTCACTAGAGGTTGCTGACTGAACCGTGACACTCCCTGCATCGTGTGGGGAACATCGACTGCAAAAATGGAGTTATCTCTCGAATTGGGTGGACTGGCCATAAAGTAAATCCTCGTCTTGCCAGCCATTTTTCTAAACGTGAACGAATGAGGAAGACGGAAGCCAAGAGTCCAAAGTTTCCTTCGTAGATTTCGAACGTCTTCTCGCAACTCGGCCCAGCTTTTCTTCTGCTGTTGCTTTCCCATCGTGGTGGGCATATCTTCAGTCGACATTTTTGACGCAGTATTCGTCCCACTGCTGCTACCACTACTATTACTACCACAGCTATTTCCTGAACCCCCTGTTCCCCCCAAATTTTCAGTCTTCATCTCCTCCAGCAATTCGAAAGGGACACTTCTCTCGGTGCAAGGAACAGACTTTACTTCCATCAATATTCAACAGAGATTTTGGGGTCAATTGCTTCTGGAACCCTACTTTCAGGACATCCAGCAGTGTTCCCCTACCAAAGAAATCACCAAAGAAATGTTATTGCCTACTCTATAACAATAAAATTTTCTACCTTTACACTCCTTTGATGTAAAATAGGACATTCCATTGCTGACTCATTCATAACTCTTTCTTTGACTATTAATAAAACTACAATAGTCTCATTATTTCCTCACCATTCGATACGTATATCACGAGTTCAGTCTCGTCGTGTTGTTGTATCCTCTTAATAATATCCAGTCTCAAGCTCTCCATTCCCTTGAAAAATTCTTGAAATAATAACAACGTCCAGAAATTAAATTTTCGAGTTTCTTCTTAAACTCCCCCAAACAAGAGGACAGGATCCCGTGGTGAAGGAAGACGAAGAGCAGAAATATTTATTTATTTTGTGGGGTGTATGGGAGACGACGACGGATGAATTAATCACCCCTCCACCATTTACTTCCAGTTTTGTGCCTTGTCGTCCTCGGGGGATCCGGTGAAAGGGACGATGATGATGATGTGCGATGGGTTGTTGGGTGAATGGACTACTGCTGGTTGGTGTTGCTGGGTATAGAATTCACTTGGGCTTGGTTGACGGTGAAAGTTGTAGTAAGCGCACGTAATAAGTGGATTTTGGATCCCATGCACTCCATCACTAATGAGATCCACTTCATGAGACGAGGAGATTTGTAATACGAGACGAACGAATGATACCAGATCGGTTCTCCTGATTACGGGGAAAGTCAAAGTAATTCAACTTTTCGTAATCCATGTTGACTCAATAGATTGATTACTCCAATCCAAGTAAGTAGGCAGGCAGACCACATATGCAGACACATTTTTACCAGATTAATTCATGACTAAACGGTCATTGGGTGAATGATATGATGGTCTTTAAGTGGGTTGTGATTGACTGATTGATTGATTGATTTGGAAAGGAGGAGAAAGTTGAGACTACGGCTCTCTCCTTTCCCTGCATCTCGGTTTACATATGAAGTCAATTTACTGACAAATGATTTATAGGACAGCATATTTCAAAACTGTATTCTACATGCATAATTCATACACATTAATCACCTTTATTTCCAAGCTATACATTTGACCATCAAAAAATAGTATATACAATTTGCCAAGTTTTTAAGTGCTATACGGGAAATGTAGGGAGAAAACTTGTGCCATAAAATATAGTCTCATTATTATCCTCTCCCAGGTCGGTGTAGGTCTCGTCGACCTACACCGGAAAGGTTTTTGCCACCCGTGGAGGACATCCTGCTGCGAGGAATTTGACATAATTGGCACTACGGCCTGAAGAATTTGGTGGACGTCATTCCGGTAAAATGTCAAACCTTTGATGATACAAAACCCATGTCCATCGCCGTGTGTCGTCCACTGGGAAGTAGGAGCAGGAGAGAGTGCGAGATATTATTGGACAGCGGCCTCTTCAGGAGCGGCTGAATATAAAGGGAATTGCGAATCTCAACATCTCTCTCAATCCTTTATTCAAAGTCAGAACAGCAGTGTGCAAAATATAGTACGACTGCTGCTGTATAAGTGAAATACAGTAATATTAAATAAGTGGAGTGAAGAAACAGTCTTCGTATTAAGTGGGTTGTGGTGGTGTGTGGGTCTGGTTGGTGCGAATAAATGTGCTTCAGTTATCAACAACAGTTGTAGCTTGGCAGGATCACCTAGTTTAAAACTCAAATAATAAAATAACAATAAACATTCAGAGATGAAAATTCCCACGGGGGACTGATGGACAAAGTTTTGTTGGACAATTAACTCTGCTAATAGAGGAGGAGGAAGAAGAACGAGGGTAAAAAATATTTCGGATTTGGTGGAGGATTTAGAGGACCCATGACCCCTGGCCCCACACCCACAACTTCTTCAACAACTGCATCGTTACTGCACCCCACTCAGCCTAGTGATGTAATAATTGAGGATTAAACAAGTTCAAAGATTTACTATGAATGTGGTTTTTGAGTTTTTATTTTATTTCTTTTCAGCCTGCAGTGAACACGATGGCCTTAGCATTTCAAGACGTGTTGAACGACGCGAAGAAGTTGACTAATCGTTTAAACGAACATGATTCCACGGCGGATGCTTTAGTGTCGCAAATGCAGGCAGTCTATCAACAAGTAGAGGCGATGAAGCAGGTTGGTCGTAAATAAATTGATGATAAATGTGCGATGTGAAAAATACAATAATGATGATGATGTCTGGAATTGGAGATTAAGATGTTTATGATTTGTGGAATATTGTGTTTGTCATAGTATCACGAGGACATATCCCAATTGAACGACCTGGCCTCGGAACGACCTCGTATAGCTCTGGTTGCTGGGATTCAACAGGAAAGTAAACACATAACGGATTTGCAACAGGAAAATAGAGAGCTTCGAATTGCATTGGAAGAGCAGCAGAATGCCGTCGACATGATCATGTCCAAGTACCGTGAACACGTGTCCAAATTGATGGAGTGCAAGCGACTTGATGAACAACTGCTCAATACAATGGACACCAATAACAAGGTAATCCATCTATTTAATCTCTGGTATCAACAAGATTTTTTATGTGTACGCGGATTATATGCAATAAATAATATTTAAATTAAATTCTTAGGCGTTGGAATCAAACGCGGAGAAAATGAATGAAATGAAATTCATTATGCGACAAGCTATTAGTATGGACGAAGAATCACTAGCCAAGGAAGAAGGTCTTCTGTCCAGATTGTGGGCCGAGAACAAGGTTCGACTGCTTCTAATTTATTTATTAATTTATTGATTAACGCAAATAATATCTATAAAAATATATTTTGCAGGGACTCCGAGAAATGTTGGAGATTTCTAGAAAGTATGGATCGTATGGGAATAATATCTTAAGTCATGGAACTGAAGATAAAGAAGTTCAAACCTCCTCCTGACCCGTCAAGCCCTTGTAATTTAATTACTCAACTCCTCCCTCCCTATTAAGTGTTGTATTTTTTCCAGCATCGTCAACTACTTAGTGGAAAATAAGAAGAGCTGCATGAATGATAATTTCAAGTAACATTTTACTATGCCACAGCATACGAGAGTATGTTGTGTTGATTAGTTAGTTGGATATATTTACGTATATTTGTTTTTTTGCGGGTTTCGGTTGGCATCATCGGTAGCTGTATGATATTATATAATAAGCGAACAAACAAATCCACCAACTATTATTATTACCAGTACTACTGTCCATCATCCGTAAATTCAAATTTTTATATATGTACGACACGCATTTTTAGAGCTAACAACTAGACAATTAATTACAATAACTAGTGGGTAGGTGATACATAGTATTATGAATGTATTTATGATGAGTCGTCGGTGCCATCGATGATTTTATTGGTTGCTTAAGACTAATTACACAAGACCTTACCCAATTATTTTACTTTCACTATTTATAATGTTCATGCCAGGGTGCATGGGTCACCACTTAGTTCTCGCCATGTTTGATTGTGAAATAATAATTTATCTATTATAATGGTGGTTGGGTGCGCAGGGTGGGAGTACAAGCTGCTAATCAATCAGTAGAATTGGTCAATCGGTTATCTTCTTTTGCCACAATTTAGTTACATAGGAAGCAAGACGGTTGCACACAGATTATGCTCTCCATCTCCTACCTTATATTAAGTCGAAACGGAATGAAAGCTGGTTATGATGATAATGTACAAGATTAACAAAATGTAATCGTAAGCTTCGTCTCGTCGTCGCAATCATCAAGTCGTTCTAAGAAAGACAAAACAAAATTAGTTTTTATAACAAATTAGTCTCATAAGTAAATAAGGGTAACAAAGTGTTCATGGTCTATTTAAAAACACATTTTCTCGGAATTGGCATTTATTAATTATTTAGACTCATTTAATTGGACTAATAGACGGAATCCGGAAATAATAAATTACAATAATTAAAATATTGATATCGTAATATTTAATTATCATATTTATTTATAGTTAAGACTTTACTGTTAAGTACACATATAAGATATCCATGTATGTATATTTGCATGAAATCACGAGATCATTTCATGTGAAATTTTCTTTCTCCTGTGTCAATATTGCATCAATTTTTGCTTTTATCCATCTGCCATTGGCATATGTGACATGTTTCTCCTCTTGTGAAAATGATCATCGTCTTTTGATAAGGACAAAACACGATAAGATGTACAAAGTATAGTTTAATAGGTTAGTAGAGTATTTTAGGGGCACGAGGAGACAGATCAGATTCCGGGCAAAGCCGTCTTAATTATTATCCCACACGATTATTAGTGACTTTAGTGGACGTTGCGCGTTGCAAATTGCAATAGTGCATAGTGACGTTATCATCAAAAAAACGTCCATCGTCCATCATCTCTCTTTAGTCTAGTCGTTTGTACAAATGGTTAAAAAAACGGCTTGAGCAGAAAATTGCTTGAGCAATTCGAGTGTGCAAGACAGAAACAGTAAATGATTCCACTGATTGTTATTGTTGGATAAGTACCGACAAAATCTGTCAAACACGTTAATCACTTATTTTCTCAGTAAAACTGCATGTGGTCAACTCACAAAGCATTGTGGAATGGACATCAAACCGAGTATTACTCAACAAAACCCTATGGATTTAGAAGACCAAGAAAATGAGTTGATTGTCCTAGAGAGCATTCTGGATAAGGACCAATTTGTGTATAATCGTGTTTCAGATGTTCTTCCTTCCGGACAAGTTCAGGTATATCAGAGGGCGGATTTGTATTTACGAAAAATCACTGAAATATATATTTAATATTTAGGGAGGAAAAATGTTAAAATATTTACGAAATTAATTTACGAAAAAAGACAGAAATTAGAATCTTTTAAAAATTTGTACGTTTGAGTTTAATACTCTGGATTTTTGTGGTCCCAATTTCTTCGAGTAAAAATATTTCGTCTTCATTGAAATATTGACAGAATATATGTATTTTCGATAAAATACGTATATACGTATTTGTAAATATTTATAAAAATGTCTCAAAACGTAGAAATATAAAAAAATATGTTGGAATTTTTGGTGATCTATAAAAGTTAACGGATCGGTTCATCATAGATAGTATTGACTTCGCATAAGCCCAATCCCCAGTGACCCCGCTCTGGTTGTGCGACTGTTTCAATTTTTATTATTCTATGAAAACAGATTGATGTCGAACTCCCCAAGGAATTTAGCATCCTTTTGAAATCATCTCAAAACGTAACGCCACCCTCGGAAGGGGAAAGTTCGCTTGGATTGAATGGAGACGCTCTGCGACAGAGACAACCACAAACGGCGGAAGTGAGTTATCTTCCACCCATTACACTCTTATTCACCCTACCTCGAAACTATCCCTCCGAGGAAGCTCCCTTGTACACGTTGCAGTCAAATTGGCTGGATCGTCATACGGTAACAAAAACAATACATAACAATCCGAGTTTCATATTAATTTAATAGCAATGTTATTTTGCAGTTGTCTCAATTATGCAGCTCACTGGACTGTATTTGGACAAAGAATCAGGGAACTGTGGTTCTATATTCTTGGATAAGCTTCCTACGTGAGGAGACCTTGAAGATTATCGGCTGTGATAAGCAGTATGAAGTTGCTCTTCATCCTCGTAGAATTCGACACAATGGGAGTTTCAAAGAGGTTGCGACTGAAAGTCAGGCAATTGCGGATTGCTCAAAACCTCCCTCCGGACTACGACTTAGGCCCAGGTTAAACCATCATCATAATCATAACCACCGACACATGGAATGCCCATTAGATCAAAGGGCCGTGTTTGTCAACTCTTCCGCAATGAGGGATAAAGAGGTCTTGTTCAACTTCCTCATTGAGTACAATAAGGAAAGAGAAGAAATTGAGTTCAGAAAACAGTTTCATACATGTGATGTTTGTTTCACGGATAGAGCAGGGACAGACTTTATACGACTCAATTGCGGCCACTCGTTTTGTAAAGAATGCATGCGGGGATGTTACACAACCCATATCAAGGAAGGGGGAATTGATGCAGTCAAGTGTCTCGCTGTCAAGTGCACTGGAATGCCAAACGTAAGAAAAACTGTCCCCATTATTTTACAGTTGTGTTATTTTAGCTAACTTGTCTAAACTCATTTTGATTCTTGCAGCTCGCGCAAGTTCACGAACTCGTCGGACAAGAATTATTCGACAGATATGACGGAATTCTACTTCAACGTGCGCTCGAGGGAATGACTGATATGATTTATTGCCCTCGTGCTCAATGTGGGAAACCTGTCATTTTGGAAGGTTTGTTTTACTTGAGAGTTTAAAATTACAATAACTATCCAAATTTTAGTATTTGCTTTGGTTATTTCAGCGAATGAAAAACTGGCTTGGTGCTCTCATTGCTCGTACCGATTTTGTTCCATTTGTAAAATGGTTTATCATGGAGTCGAGCCTTGTCGTTTCAAATCTGGTAAGAGGAATTATTGCAAGTTCATTGTTTCTCTCGATATGTTTGTTGTATGATATATTTACCGTTTCGTATTAGATGAAAAACAAAAACTGTTTGAGACTTATTCAAATGCATCCAAAGAAGAAAAATTGGTGATGGAAAAGACTTATGGGAAAAAGCAGTTGGCGTTGTTGGTAGAATCGACTTTATCCGAAAAGTATATCGAGAAACAAAGCAAGCCATGTCCACATTGCAAGATTCCGATTGAGGTACACTTAAGCCGCTACTACATTTCTTTCTTACATCATCATCTAAGAAATTTGGTCTACACGCATAGCGATCGGTTGTACTTAATACATACTTAATCTGAGTTATAATTTCTCTAGAAATTCGAAGGATGCAACAAAGTTACTTGTACTAAATGTGGCGCCTATTTCTGCTGGATGTGCTCAAAACAATTGGACAAAGGAAATCCCTATTTTCACTTCCAGGACACATTATCCCCTTGTTATAACCTACTCTTTGAAAATGCGGGTGGAGATTTTGATTCTGATGACGACTTTGAATTTAGCGACGACGACGATGACGATGACGATGATTGGGTTTGAAGGTTCACGGCTGATGATAACCAATGCTACATTTAAAAATATAATCCAATACAAGATGTCAAAATTGTGAGTTAATTTAAATTTATTATCAACTACTACTACTGTCTCTCTCTACGTTACATCGCACTGTCAACTGTAAACAAAACATCATTGTAAACGAACTCAATTACAATATTATTGGAAAAAGTGGCAAAAACGTGCCTTGTGATAGAAAATATATATGAACTCGTTCTTCTACCCTCGACATTGTTATAAAATATATCCATATATTCATACGTAAAAAAATTATTCGTAGCGAATATAAACTGTTATGTCCATAAAAATGTATCAAAATGCAACAATAATTACAATTTCATCGTATTGTTAAGTAATATATATGACTTGAAAGAATGATAATAAATTTTCCAATTTGGTTTCCTTAAAGCAATCGCCCACCGTACCATTGTCCTATTTTGGGAGGATGAATCAGGTCCCGTTTCACGCTTGGGTCAGACATTTCCCAAAGCTTTTGGAATTCTTCGGTATAAAGACCTACTGTTTTGGCATCATTCGTCACCACCATGCTCTCTCGATTTTCAGTGATAGCCTATAATAATTGAATATATTAAATCACTCACTTTATAAAAAATATTGCATCAACCGGCATTAATAAACTGTACCGAATTTGTCCAATTCAGCGATCCTGTGAGAATAGCCTTATCGTCAATCACAATAAATTTGTTGTGCATATGATCCAAGAGAAGTCCACCGCCGTGAGGGCTGAGAATTATTTTCGGCTTCTCTCGAACTTGGACCCCTAAAAGTTATTTAGGAATTAATTTAACCTTAATTGGAGAAATCTATAGTTTGTCAACGTCTCCAAAATATCAAACTCGCCTCGTCTGCTCCATCGTGTGCGTGTACCGTTTGTTACGACACGAACCCGAACCTTTTTCCTGGCCATGTCAAAGAGCACGTCTTCCAAGAGTCTAAAGTTCGAGTGGTATATTGCCACATCCAGCGTCCTTTCTGCCTGCTGCATGTACCACATGAGTTGATGAGTCTGAGAAAATTCTTGTTCCGGAAATATTTCAGGAAAAAAGAGGACCGTATTCCACAAAGTTTCTGCTGGTTGTTGCCGGAAGTCTATTCGAGGCAAATGACGGTACCAACCGTCTGCTTTCCTTTGAGGTTTCGACTTTATCGGTGCAACTTCTGGAGGTATAACTTCCTTCTCCTCTACTAATTTTGATTTCTTGGATGCCGATAAAGCTTGCCATGCGAGAAAAATGGAATAAAGTAGGTCACCGACGACAAACAAGCCTATCACTATCTTCACAGATTTGCTACGAGCAATCATTTTCACGGATGACAACATTTTAAAAAATTTTCTGGTTAAATATAGGTAATTTCAAGGGTTATATTCCATTTGAAACGATGAAGGTAAAGATTTTGAGAGTATGGAGGTTCTCTCAGTTCAAACGCAGGATTGACTGAAATTTGAGGATACTATAAAGGCCAGAACTTTATCACTCTATAAAAAACAGATAAGACTGAAGACTCCTAGGAATGCCCAGTCCTATTCCATACAATGTCCCGATTTGAGGCTACTTTGTGCATGGATATGTATATGTTCGTTATAATACAGACCAACAAAAAATAACGCATTCATGTTAGTATTTATATTAACTGTACGTTGAATAAGGAACTATTCAGAACTTAGGATTAGAACAGTTAGAACTGTCTACATATGCAACTCGAGCTTAACAAAACATAGCCTCAAATTTCATGCAAAGTAAAAGTATGATAATTTCTTATTTATTTAGCTAAAAACAACAACGTAGCAACCAAATATGTAAGTATGCCAAAAATAGAATCCTATTCCGGATATATTTGAAGCTTATCATCCGATGGATTATCGCCTTGAGTGTTATCCTCCGAAATCGGGACCAGATCCTCACCATCAAAACCATCCGTACTGTTGTTACTGTCAGAATCTTCTGCAAAATAGAGATCCTGGTCTTCTTCTTCGTCAATTGGTGAACTTGTGGTCGTTGTCGTTGTCGTCTCCTCCGGTTGTGCGTAAAATTGCTCCCCGTTGTTGCAGAAAGTTTGGTTCACAGGGAAGAGGTACTCCAGATTTACGCCATATGCAGCCACCTTTTCTCGAAGATAGTCCATCTGCAATTTGTCCATGTACGGGGTTCGACTCAGGATGAAAGTTGACAAGAACTTTTTCTCTGATTCAGGATCTGAGCAATGGAGCAAAATTAGCCAGGAAGAATGGTCCGTGTCGATTACGTCCGTATTATATACTCCCTTATCTGTCCATATTATTGCCCATAACAAATTGTACCAATCAGTCATAAATTACTCTCAAATTATGCATTATAATTTTTCATGTTTCGTTACAGTGGTCTTCTGTGTGTCGCCAGTGTTCGGGTCGCATTGGATCAGGAATTTGCCACGTAATGTTTCCTGTTTGCATCTAGTCGTATAAAATTTCATTATCCGGAATTTAAGGAATATTTAGTGCGTTTTATCTATAATTTCTCCTACCTCTTCATTCGGATCGGCAGCGTACCTGTGTATGTATAGTATTCATGCATGTACATATATATGTCTATATTGAACAGCAATTATAAAGTATTCACATAATTTAGCAAGTAATTTTACTTGTAGGTTAATCGCATTTTCATGTCCATGTTTCCATTTGAAAGTCCAAACTCTGTTTTCATACAGTGATATGTGAATGCTATTTCCGCACTGGAATAGTACTGCACAACGAACCATGGTCCGAGAACCTGTAAATTAAACAAGTGCCAGATTATGCAAAACTGGGGTAGAATTTATGCAAAAATTGTGTTCACTTACTTGAAAAATGTTAAAATCCTTCATAGGCTTCACGTCTGGACAATTGTCCCTCTTCCCCCAACCACCCCTTACCACAAGACAGGAGAATAGAAAAATTTCTATAAAGTGTAACATTTTTTCATGCAAAATATATACAAATTTGCAATTTATATCACTGAATCCTATTCAAGTAGCATTTTTGTCACATTGGACAACAGTTTTGTTCGTTCTCTGCGTGATGTGCAAATCGCAGCTTGAATGATTACTTAGAGGCATAACGTATGCATGTATATGTTCCGACCGACCTAGCTCTTATCCAAAGTTGATTTCCGTTTCCTGTCCATGCTTAGCTCTTGATCACTATTCAAGAATGCACAACATTAAGTAATGAAGATGTGTACAGGAGTGTTACACAATTATACATATATGTTACTGACAACGAAATACTTTCTTCATACTGGCCCATCATAAATCATATTTATTCCCATTGTTCTAAACCGCAGATAAAGTAATATTTCAAGGATAAACAAGTTTTGCACTTATAAAGTTACAGTTCCAGTAATTAATCCATTTTACGTCATGATTTGATTGTTCAGGAAATTCAATAACTGCATATTAAAATAGTATTCATGAATCTTGAATCATCTCTCATCTTGTAAAGGTTCTAGAACTATGCATGTCATGCCATGTCATTTACCTTTAAAGTTCTGGAATCAGTATAGTCGCCTCGTTGCATAAGTCTTAGTAATAATTAAGTACTTTACCACACTTGCAAGTGAGTTCTATGGGATCGTACGTAAAGAATGTAGTCGATTACTGGGGAACTTTGACCCTTGGCCCTGAGGTAGGGGTCATGCGATACTGTAATCAACATGTACTTAAGGATAGCACCCCTTGGGGCCTATCCCCACACTCAAATCGACAATCTTCTACACGCACGGCCCCCTATTTACATCCAGTATGATGATCATCTATGTTTTGACTGGCTGCTGCATATTTTAGTGGGCAGAGTGGCAGAGATCTTCATATGAGGAAGTTGGGGGTGTGAAAGTGAGAGCATGCAGCGGGTATTTTATGGGAGTCTTCTTCTGGATTGGACCACATCAGCATTTCTTTTGCTTGTTCTGGAACTTGTTCTTCGGAATATTCAACAATAATAATATCCTCCTCAGTCTTCTCAGTCAGTCTCACGTCTGGACTCTCTGCTGCTGGTGCAGATTCCAGTAGTATAAACATTGGGACAGTGTCTTCTTGTTCTTCTTACGATTGTTGTTCTTCTTTTGGAACATTACTGCATGACGGATCCAATTCTTGGGGTCAGGATGAGTCACCGACTATTGACGTTGGCCTTTTTGATTACTTTTTGTGCAGCTTTCGCCCTTCCGAACAAAGATGGTAGCAGGGTGTTCGAAAAGGTGAGTGAGCTAAATTACTAATTGTTGAATTTAGTACGAGTTTTTGGAAAGCTTCAAAATTTAATTTCATCAATTGTAGACACTGAGTGAACAGGATCATTTCATTGAGGGCGAGCATAACTCGGCGTATGATCACGAAGCATTTTTGGGAGATGAGGCTCAACAATTTGATGACCTTTCACCTCAAGAGTCGAGACGTCGGTTGGGGTGCGCTCATTTCTATGTGTCATTCACTCTGTTGACTTAACTTGATTCATTCATTCCTCGCGTCATTAACTGGCTTACTTCCATTCAACCATCATGCTGTTCATAAGATTGATTCTACTATGATTACATGAGAGAATTGTTAATTGATTGTTTTTTTGTAGGCTGATTTTTGATAAAATTGATACCGACAAGGATGGAAAAATCGATGCTGACGAATTGAAAAGGTGGATTCAGTGGACTCAACGCCGGTTCATCGTGAAGGATGCGGAAACTCAATGGCGAATCCACAATCCTGATGGGAAGGATAAGATCAATTGGACCGAGTATCGGAGAGCAAACTACGGTTTCTTGGATGGCGAGCCGGAGGGAACAGAGGACAGGAAGACGTACATGAAAATGATGCAACGGGATCGAAGGCGCTGGGTCATCGCAGACACGGATGCGGATGATCATCTCACCCAGGAAGAATTCACCCATTTCATCCACCCCGAAGATGTGTCGCACATGCAGGATGTGGTGGTTCTTGAAACAGTTGAAGACATTGATAAAGATGGAGATGGAAAAATCTCGTTGTACGAGTACATCAGTGAGTCTAGCATTAACTCGCATAAAACAATGTTGGATTTTATTAATTTTATGTTTGGCTTCATAGGAGATTTGTACAGAGGTGAATCTGGAGAAGGTGAACCTTCTTGGGTGGAAAATGAGCGTGAATCATTCCGAACTTACCGAGACAAGAATAAGGATGGATACCTGGATAGCGAAGAGGTATATAATCAATCCGTGCAACTGCAAATTGTCAAATATTTATATATTCCATTTATAATATGAATGTATATGTAGAAGAGTATATAAAAGTTTGTATGCATGCATAGGTCAAACAATGGATCATGCCAGACGATTACGACCACGCTGGAGCAGAAACCAATCACTTGATTCACGCTTCTGACTCTGACGCGGACGGAAAACTCACAAAGGACGAAGTCCTCGACAAGTACGACGTATTTGTCGGATCACAAGCCACAGATTTTGGCGAGGCTCTCGTCAAACATGAAGAGTTTTAAATTGCTGCTACAAGTTTTGCCTCCGAACTTACACATGCGATTGCCATCGATTTAATTATTTTTTACTGCCCAGTGTAGAATGCATGAGTTGCTACAACACAATCAAAAATAATTAATGCAAAATGCAACGACTGAAGAAACGACAATCAATATTCCTTCCGAAATCTCTGTAAAATATTTACATCGAAACCGGCTGCTTCCTTGTATACTTATCCGTTCGTTACCATCGAGTCTCATAAAGTAACTTATTTTAATTTATTTATACGCCGACATGTTTTGGAAGTGTATAACATCCTCATCTTATTTACCAAAGACAAACTAATCATTACATTAATACCTCATGTTATTATTATTGGAGTTTCTTCCGAATGATTAATCATGAATTGTCAATGCTGGTTAATTTGGGTACTAATTGCTGTTTAATTATTTATTGAATTTTACCTCTATTTGTTAATTTATTAACATTTGTTCATTACAATTTTACCATTTTTTTATATGCGTATTTTCATGTCACAACAACCAAGTGCCAATAATAAAGTGTCTTCTAGTTATTTAAGCAACAAAATAACAATGCATAAATAGATAATCTCATTCTTTCTCGTTTGGAACATATTATCCATATCCAGGCATCATAAAATCCGCATTGCTGTTGTGGACAGTTTTCATGGAGGAGAAAGCAGGAGCATACTATACACATTGACAGAGCGATAGAGTAGTGTGGGTATGCTGCTGGTGGAGTGAAAGCATAACATCAACACAAGAACACATCTGTATATTTGTGCAGTAATCTTGCTTTGAGCACCACAGTGTTCACCCAATTTTGACCTCAGAATAACAACAAATTCACCATCGGGTAAGTGTACTTATTAATTGACTTAACAGATCAGAAGCCGTGTTATTAATTAGGAGAGCTGGAAGATAATCGTGATCTATAATGTACTTGCTATTTCAGCAACGAGATGAGAATTCATTGAGAAATGAGCTTATCGAGAAGATATCTGCGGGTCGTGTTGCAAGGGTGGCGTGGGGGTGGGGGTCAGCAGAGGAGGGATTTTTCCTGGCAACCTCGGGCGTGGTCGAAATGGCAGCCGTCTTGGATCGGGGCGGTGGTCACGTCTGCCTCCGTCGTCTACCTTGGATATCAACTTTTCCACCCGAACCGATATGTGTATGCGCTCAAGTCCCGGACTAAGGTAGGTCAACTAAGGTCATATTTGTTGAACTTATTTAATGGAGGTACTGCTTCTTTATTTGTAGAAGGATGATGAAGTAAAGTCAATAAAGCTGACATCGAGGGAGAGACGATTCCTTAGATTTGCCTCGGTCGAGTTTGACGGACAACTTTACATGACACCACAGGATTTTCTAGAGTCTGTTGTGGAGGCTGAGCCGAGACGTAAGAAATGTCCATTGGATAAAATTGATCTAATTATCTAATTAAATACTACTGGAGGAATTAATAATGTATATTTTGTTTTAGCTCGTCTAAAACGCAAGGCCTTAACTAAAGAGGATTTGAAAAACATAAAGGAACATACGCCTGCATTGCAAAAGGGGTCACCACAACTGTGGAGAAATTTAAGAGATAAAGGTTAGCGTGGTGTGTGTGGATCTCATTTTTACAAGATTAATTAATATGATGCACTAATTATAGGAGTTATTTCGTACACGGAATACTTATTCCTTCTATCAATACTCACAAGTAAGTGCTTCAAACCAACCGGAATATGACGAGTTCTACATTATTTGATGGATTTTTATTTTATATTAGAACCTCAGACAGGATTCAGAATTGCTTTCAACATGTTCGATACTGACGGAAATGAAAAAGTGGACAAAACTGAATTCCTCGTTGTAAGAAAGAATCAAATTCTCAATTTGTTAAAAAGGAAAACAAGCGTTGCGACAATCTCTTTAACATCATGGGGATTGTGATTAATGGATGGATGACGTCCTTCTGAAATTCCGTCTTAAGACGTTCACTCGTTTGCATTGTCTTGCATAATGTATCCTTTTTTATTTACGAAGCGGGTATCCACCGACTTATTGGTGTATTTAGTACTGCGCCCTTGTTTCTGTTAATTCATTTATTATTATTATCATTATTATATTTATGTATTGTATTTTTATTCGTAGCTGTTGTATCTGATCCCTCTGCACTCGTACAAGAGTGAGTCGATGATTCAAAGTCTTCATGGGTTTGTACGTACTATGTACTTACCTTCGAATCTTACCGAGAGTGATAATGACCAACTAACCCTTCCTTCTCCGTCTCCAAAGGTCGTTTCCAAACCAATAACCAATTGATTTATGAACAATGCATTAAAAATTTGAGACATTTCTCAAAAATGTTGGTACATGTCACATTTCCAATTACACTCTCTTCCTTAAGCGTGATGACTTTCACTCGGTTTGGGTGTCGCGATAGGAGACGTGGACTTTAGTAACTTCTTGTTTCTCTCTTGGCTGTGCGGATGATGCGATACTTATCAATCACAGTTTTCTTCTTATTCCGTCTAAATCTATTCCTCCTTCTCTCGTGTGTGCAATTCACAGTAGCTTCTCCACTACTTCTACTACTACTACTACTACTAGACTCATCAGTGAGTGGGTGTGGTCGGTGTGACTTTTTCTTACTTGTTTACTCTCTTAATTCTTTGCTAATTTTTATGAGTTACGTTTTACTTCGTCGTTATATTGTTGTCCCGTTCTTCTGCAACAATATAATACATATACATGGCAACTTCCCTATCCTATTTTCCTTTTCGATAATGTGTGTCGTCTTCTCTGTTTATTATGACTTATTTGTAGGTATTTCATCGTTGAATGATGCATGATTTGTGTGCTCCAATGTACTTAACAAAGTTGCTGAGCTGTAATTACTGATGTGATATTAATTGATAATTTGTGTGTGAAATTATGCAGTTGGAGAAAATATTCAGTATGGCCTGGAAAGACAAACGCGGCCTACTTAATCCGGAAGAAGAAAAAACCGGTGATGAAGCCGAGGAACAAGAAAACACAGCAAGTGCTAAAGCTACGGAGGCCTTGATAAGCGAAATGCTGGTTGATGATGATCGTGGATTGCAGCGTCGACATATGGTTGATACAACGCTCCTGGTTCACTTTTTTGGTCCTAAAGGGAATCGAGAAATTAAATACGAAGATTTCCGCAAGTATGTATTTCAAAGTTTTGTATAAAATGCATTTATGTACACTATATTAAACAATAGAAATGGTAAAAACAATATTCGAAAATTTGACTAGTTTTAATGATAAGTCGGAGCCATCCAAAATGCGCAAATATTTGTTTCATATAGTGCATGCATGTGTTTGAAAATTTCTACGTCGTGATTACAATTGATTTCTATCTCTCAGATTTATGGAAGATTTACAAACAGAAGTTCAGGAACTCGAGTTTCACGAATTTTCCAAAGGACTTGATTTCATTTCACAAGTAGACTTTGCCAAAATTCTTCTCAGATATACATACCTTCAATCGGAAGAGTAAGTCATAAAAAATTCGAGGATTATCAGATTAAAGTTGGTGGCTCATTGACAATTTTGGATTCCAGATACGAGCTGTACTTGGACAGACTTGTGGACAGGATAAAACTAGAACAAGGAATCACATTTGAAGAATTTAGGGCCTTTTGCCAATTTCTTAATAATTTGGATGACTTCAACGTAGCCATGAAAATGTACACATTGGCGGACAGGCCAATATCTCAAGACGAGTTTCGACGAGCTGTGAGAATTTGTACAGGAACAGACCTAAGTCCTCATGTTGTGGAAACCGTATTCCAAATTTTTGATGAGGATGACGATGGTCACCTCAGTCACCGAGAGTTCATCGGAGTCATGAAAGATAGGCTTCACCGAGGTTTTAAGGTACATAATTTATTAATTGATAACTATACACTGCAATATATGTATCCTTTCACTCACAATAATGAATATCTTCATTACAGCTCTACACCAAAAACGAAGGCTGGGAAGCTTTCAAACAATGCATTCGCCAAGAAATGAAGACACAATAAGACAATTTTCAATTCAATGGCCATCAACTTATTACTTTAACGTGGTGCTCGTACTCTGTAAATGTACTTTGTCAATCGCTTTACTTGTAATAAGCAATATATTAAACATTATAGCAACCAGTATTTAACGTGTTCGGTTTGTTGGAAAGTTAAGTGTTTACTAGTTTAAACTGCGTGTGATATTGAAGTTAAAACAGTCCAACTTTGCAAAGAAGTGCAAAATTATGATATGAAAACCAGTCTCAAATTTTATTTAATAAAGCAATATTAAAATAATTAGCAGCGGAGTGTTTTTATTTGAATAATGGTTTTAATCAGCATTGCTGCTCATGAATGTAGATTCTTGAATGTTATGTTACTGCTAAATACAAATTCCAACGTGATTTAATACCAAGCATTTTGTGACGATCACTGTCAATCTTGCCCGTAGGATGCATTTTGAGGAGGATACCACCCAAATTCTAGGTGTTTGATAAGAATATGACATTCCGTCATGGCGTGACATATATGCAGACAAATTGTACAAAAGGCGTTAGGACATGGTTTTGACGAATTCATACCTTAATTGCGGGATGGTTTTTAGTTGTAGAGATTTCTAACATTTTTTATGTGAAAGCCCATGTCTCAAACTATAGGTAAGCATATCTGGCTTCCGATTTTATGTACTCTGCGAAATGAGGAAAGGTCAAATTTGGAGAGGTGTCCTTTTTTAGTTTTCCAAACCAGTGTTCTTATAAAATGGCGTTGAACAAAATATTTTTTTCTGAGGTCCTGGTGCAAAAATCGTCTTTGCGACTATTATCAAGGGACTTAGCATGCTTTTCACTATATAAAACCACTTTTGTATCATGCTTATCTTTTAAGTCCCTTTTGTAGTCTAGCTTCATACTTGTCGTAATGGAATGCTCTCGTTAACGCAACTCCTCGACTTTAAAGGCCCCCACATTTTAGGACTTTGATGCTAAAAATCCCTAACGTGGTTTTTATCCAAGGTAGAAATTGTATGTTGCATTGTAAGTACTTTTGGTAAAATTTTGATAAGTGGTTACACCCCAGGAAATGAGTTTCCATCAAACCCTATAAAATTTTTACAAAAGTTCTCCTCGAAATTGAAGCGGAAATTTAAATTTTTTTAACTAATCAAAACGCAGTAATTTTATTATTTTGTCACTTGTACCTTGTAGGTAAAATAGTTCTGCAGCAGGGAACACAAAAAAGTTATTAAAATTTGTTTTCAACAAAATTTGACCATTATTTTCCTAAATTAGTTCACGAGTTTTGTACTATTCCCCGTCAGCTGATTAGCTAGGGTCCTTCTCCAAAACTGTTTACACAAAATCTTCACTGTTTAATTTAATATTACTTGAGACACTTAGAGCTTTGCCCTCAATCTTCACTTGACCTAGTGGGTCCGCTTTAAAGGTCAGCAGGTCAATTTTCCTGTGCACGGTCCGATTGATCACTTTTCATGAAAACGTATCAGCGACGATGGAGGCCCAACGTTATGTAATTCATTGTGGATTCTTTTATTATTACATGCAATGATTATCTAGGGTTGTAATATTAACAATCATTCACCTCTGACCTCTTAGGTTATCATGCTATATGAGTAATTCAGTTTGGAAAGTGTTTTTTTGGCTCCTTCCAACTCTGGGGGCACTGGAGGGGGCATTTATAAAGCTATCGGCCCAAAATTTTAAATATATCTTTTTGAGAGTATTATCTTGCAACTGACCAAAAATCAGTTCAAAATTCAACTCCCCGCCAGAGATATTCAACCGCGAATTCGTCAAAACCATGTCCTAACGCCTTTTGTAGGATCTCATGCTCACCGGCCCATGATTTATTTAAATGAATAGGTTAGTCAAATCTCATAAAATGTGAAACTTTACCAGTGTTACTTTTATTAATTCGTTAATTAAAGTCATATTTATAAATGCAACTTATTAGGTTACTAATACTATAGAGAGTTGATTAATAACAACACAAGTCATCATGATTTAATGAGTAATAATACAAGTAAAGGAGCAGCAGACAGGGGGAAATAGACGAATTTGTTTTAAATTTTTAATTTTTTATCCTCGTGTTGGTCACCTACTGGCAGTTTGTAAAGCCCAAATGTTGTACAACTACAATTTATGGTAAGTAATAACTGAAAAATTAACTGGGTTTTGAATAAAGCATGTGTCCAAAAAGTGATTAAAAGACATTGTCACGTAGGATGACACGTTGTTTGGTATATATGAAGTAAAGTTTCTCGAGGAGTATCCATTTTTGGAGGTTAATTCTATGTAATTTCAGCTAAAGACTATAATTTTATACTTTTATATAATTCATGTTTTCTAATTCCTACACACTTGAAATCAATCATACTCACCTAGGTTGTATAATAATTATCCTGAAAACAATGACGTTACATAGGTTTTAATTATGAACATCAACTTTTCGAATATTCTTCGAATAATTCTTGAAATATATTGATAGGATTTAGTAAAATACATATAAATCCGATACTTTTTTTAAACTCTTGTTGTGTTAATTTATAAAACACTTAATTGCTTCATTATATTGTGACGAGTTTGGTATATTACATACATATTTATAATGTTTATGGGTACAAAGTCAAAAGTCTCAAATTCTCCCCATTCAAATTCCACCCAAAAGTAGGTAGGTACGTTGCAAAGCCAGTCTCTTTAAGGTTTTCTCACACTTTTTATACTTCATTTTTGGTTGGGGCCTGATAATTTTTCCTTGGAAAAATCATCGACCTTCCAACTAAATAACTCGACATTTTCCGCAAATTCCGAAAATTCGTCCTCTCTTTAATAATAATATGCATTCGGGGAGTTTGTTCAAATGTGCGATCGAGTAGGTTTTTAAGATAACTGTGCTAGTCAAAATTATGTGAATGGTAAATGCTACGTATAATACCGTGCTTCTTGGAGTAGTAATCTTTTTGTTTTCTATCTCTACCTATGAATTTTACACACGTTACAAATAGTTTCTCAGTCAGTCAGTCAAAACACCATCAATTGTATCATAATCACTTATTCTTCTGTTCTATTAACTAGCTTATTTATTAATAAATATCACCATTCGTTCCAAAAAACTCAGGTTTTTTTGTGTGCCAAGTTCGCAGGAATGGCATTTGTAATTGTGTAGGTGTGAAACTCGTGGTCAAATCTCAAATGTCAAGTGGACGCCAAAAAATTAATTTTTTTCAGCTCTTTACCCAAATGCTCAATCAGGTTCACATGGAATGTGTTATCAGGTAAGTGAGTGATGTGGGGGAGGGACTTGTATTTTTGTAGAAATACAGTGATAATAGTTTAATAGACAATGACATGGGATGTATTTATTGTACCACTTGACAGAAACAGAACCACTTAAAATTCGAATGAGCATTCCTTTTTTTCTAAAGCACAAGGTGTAAGTACTGACCAACAGGTTTACACTCTTTTCTGGTATATAATCTAGAATCATAACCTGTATGTAGCTGCATTACTTACGAAGGTACATTGTTCCATGTTTCGAGTCTCTTGGTGTTTTGCGCAGAAAGAAGACAATAATTTTGTTTAAATATTTAGGATTGTTGGTGCAGTTTTGTTTTGTATGTAGGTAATAAAAATATAAAAAATATGAACAAGATGAGAAAATGATGAGCGAAATAAAATGTGTAAAAGTTAAAAAACGAAAATCGTAATGAAATAAATGATAAATGTTTTACTGAATAATAATAAATGGTAAAATAAGGATAATAATATACCAATAAATTTCTATACGCGTGTGTTGTATATAGCATTGAAGAAATTGATATTTTCTTGATTAAAATCCTCGAATCCATTTTGAAATTCAGATTGCCTTTCTCGTCGCCGCTGTCGTCGTCGTATGTAAACCAAATCAATTTCTTCGTGAATAGTGCTCTCTTAACTATTAGTAATTAGTATCAGTATTGTAATCACCATATAGTTCACGTAGGTCTTGAAATTATTCAAAAAATTACCAGTTTCTCTCACACTCCGAAGGAGACTTGTTGCTTAATTACACACAAAAGTCTCTTACAAAGCAATACGTACTTGAATACATTAAAGTGTACTCGAAATATAATATATAGACTCTCTTACGTTAAAAAGTATAACAATCAGCATAAAATTGACAATATGACGACACGATAAGTAAGTAAGTATATAAAGTTCACGAGCGAAGGAAAGCGTCAAGATCATTTTTCACATTTTCATTCCTTAAATAGTTTTATAAATTTTAAAATAATTCCGACTTGTCAAGATCCCTCCTTAGAATACTCGTCAAGCAAGATGATGATGATTTTGACCGACGACACGGGACAGAAGAACTTGTGAGGGAGATTTGTTCCGCATTTTTGTCGCCGTCTACATATTCTTGTAGTTTCCTCTTGTTGAACATTGTTACAATTAATTTATATCCCTACACAACATGGAAAATGAGGTTTCATATATGTTTATACGTAGTTTTGTACATAGTTATACGAGTACAGGGAACCAAGGGAATGAATATGGAGAGAAACAAGGACGAACATCATCTCTACAATTATATAACATCTACTAGACAATATCCTTACAACTAAATTTCCGTATAGCTATTTATTAGTATCTAAAAGTTATTTGTTTTGCGACTCGACTGGATTTTTGGGACTGATACACGCATTCACACACTCCTTGTGTTTATTGCATTCTCTACTCTAAACTATGAACCTATCTAAAAACTAGTCTAAAAATCTGGCATTCTTTTTAGTCGTCGCACTTCACAAAGAAGAAAGAGAGTTAGTTATCTCAAACAACAAAATATTTAGCTTGTATAATTTTTGCAAGTTAGAAGACCACAAGATTTCTAGTACAATGAAGAAGAGAAAAACTACGGAATACAAAACTAGAACAAACATTAAGGAGAAAGGACAGAACATTTAGTGATGACAATAATAATAACAACAATAATAATAATCATAATCGAATCATGCAAGTGACGACCGATTAGCGAATGTATAAGGTACATATCAATCCGATTCCTCTGTAGAAGAGTCAAAAGAGTTTACATTTTTGGCTCCCATTTTTGGACCACGCCACCAAGGACGCGTCGCAGAGAGACCACCGGACAACACCACACGGTCTTCGCACTCTTCTCATTTGCTCTTTACCAAGTATTACCAACTATATTACGTTTTAATAACTAGTTCAGCAGGACAATTAATTAATTGAAAATCTAAAGCTGGGTTTGGTTAAAGCTAAAGCTATATATCTCGTCCCTTTCTCCTTCATTTCGCCTCCTTGCTCAATTTAAGTATGTACTAGAGACATAATATAATGACATTATGTGTTATCTGAAACCACTAAAATAATCGTAAAACCTGTCTAAATATAAACATTGTGTGCATGTGTATTGTTTAGTTGTACATTTATCGAGCGGAACAAACCTGTTTGGACAATAGGTATACTTTATAAGTATGTATGTATATACACTCATATATATTTCAATAATTTGCAATAATAACTAACCTTAGCCAACGTGAATTGCTCTCCACTCTGAGAGTTAATAATTCATCTCCATACATTTCTTATTAACCTAGCGATTTATTTATTTATTTACGAATAATTAGTAGTTTAATTGTAAGTAATTCTGTACTTTGAATTTCCAGTCGTATATATTCAGTAGACGAAGAGTAGCTCTATATATGTGTAGACTTTATAAAGTGGTCAACCGTCAATGTCTCACTGCTAATAAATATACTTCCATCTCACTCGAAACCGTTTTTGAACTTGGTGTGTGTGGAATCGTCGTCGTCGTGATCGGCGTCGTTGTGGCGCAGCAGTGACCGTAAAATGGATGAGTGATTTTTTTATAATTTTCTCTCTATTTTTGATAACTCGCGAGTCCAATGGTATTTGCAGGAGATGTAAAGGAGGGAAGGAGTGTGTGTAGAAGTAGTTGTAGTTTTTATGTTGATTTCAGCCTTGAATGTTTCCTTCGATTCGATGGTTGTTGTATGAATGATGATGTCGTCGTCGACTATTTAAAAGAGTATGTACAGATGGGGACGAGGGTTTTCGGAGGGGGTGGTTGAGGGTTGTGGGGCAAAGGACTCTCTCTATACTCTAAGTATGTGTATATATCATGCACAAAAAAGGGGTCTGATTGTTTCCGAGATGATTAGCTGAGGTGTGATTGAGTGACTGATTGTTTCTTTCTTCAAATAATTATGGTTAAAGGTAGCATGCTTTGGATGCACAGTCAACACCAACAGTGTAGTGGACTCAGGCTCCAGTGCAGTCGATCTCCACGATGTCCTTTGGAACGTCCACAAACTGGTAGACGAGACGCTGTCCATCTACCTTTGCCAAAATCCCTCGTTGGTAGTAATATCTGAAAAGAAATGAGAACGACACATTATTACATCTTCATCGTCATCATCATCAATGTAATGCAAGATGGTGACCACACTACTACGCTCCTTTACACTACTGTCACAAAGGGTAGACGAGGAAAAGGAGAAAAATAAAATGTACCGAGACAAGGTCATTGCCAAATTATATTCTACATCATGCACAATAGTCCAGTGGGCCCAACCACATTCACAGTACACAAAACAAACTATGAATAAGTACGAACGAGAAAAAGCTGTCCGAAACAAAATTTTTTGTGCTTCGATAGAATCCTTTTCCCCGTAAATTTATAATGTACAATAAATATGTAAATGGAGGGGATGAGATGGAATGATTTTTCAAGTGGCTGCATTGTTGTGCGGGCCATCAATGTGAAACTCGATTAAATCCACTGAATAACCACAAAACTGTGACGTCAGAAATATGGATATTAATCGTGACCTGATCTCGTACAAAAGAGGGATAGAGTTGAGGACAAGAGATATTCCAACAAATATATGTATGTACAAAGAAATTTAGAATTTATATAATTATGAACCAACCTTAGAGCTCGTCCCATTGTTTCGTAATTCATGTCGGGCTTATTTTTGTGAAGCCCCCACAACCTGGACACTGCTTTTGAGTCCACGAGTTTGAAGATCCCTTTCTCACGATTCGTCCACTTAATGTAGCGTGGGCAGTACTCTTTATCTTGGAGCAGTTTGAGCAGGAACTCCCACAAGTACGTCGTCGAGCCTGCAAATTAATACGAAACATTGGATAAAGTCAGTTTATTAATGTTCGCCGACCTCTCGAGTAAACAGTGGCGTAAGGTTGTTAGCTTACCCTCTCTACTCTTGCGCTTCATCGGCCCTTGATCAATGCCTTTGGGCTTTCTCGACTTTTTCTTGATCCTCGGAGGGAACCCCAGCTCAGCCAGGTAAAACTCCTCCATGGATGAAGAGGAGCTGGGCGAGGAAGTGTTGGTGGAGGTGGCAGAAGGGGTGTGACCAAGAGGTCCCCCAAGCAGAGGGTGATGTCCGTAGTGCCCATGATGAGAGCCCAAGTGACTGATTGTGGCGTTGAGCATGGCCGCATGCTGGCCCCCTCCCAAGTGATGGTAGTTCCCCCCGTTCGCGAGGTCACAGTACTGTCCGGACACCCCACCAAATGGATATCCACCATCTGTACATACGACGAGGACGCATTATGCAAAAAATATAAAATAGATTAGGTACAATTCATCATAAAGGTCTGTATATCCAAATATCTAAATATATACACTCTGTAAATGGGAATGCAAACTAATGAAGCACTATTTAACTGCCGAATTAAAATTTGGCAAAAACAAACAAAAAACAAATCAAGCAACATTCATTCTCAGCATCATTTCTAAATCTCAGAAGTTGTTGCTTCCGAGACATCAATTACATTTTGCATCAGCATCAGCGTGAGGTGGAGGCATGCAGCAGAATCAGAAGAAGCATTTTAAAATTTCATTGCATATTCGTGCAACCCACTTTTCTTCCACCCTTTGTCGTTAATGAGTGAAGGGCAAGGGGTTGAATTCATCGTTTGTGTTGCAAAGCAGACAATTTCCCAATTTCCGTCGAGGTGAATGCAAGCATAGAAGAGCCAAGTAAAAAGATAATGACAATTGTATATCGGCTGCTGCTGCTGCTTGTGTTCTTCTGCATTTGTTGCTCAAGACAATGAACGGAAATGACATAGAGTATATGTAGTCCTGTGACTCTGAGAATCGAGCAACAGCTGAATCCCCTGAAGGAAGCGAATAATGCCCTATGCATTGTTGGAAAACGAAAACGAAACAAGGATTCAAAAAATCAAAAGAGCCGATATGCAAATATTTTACGTATAAAAAAATGACCTGGAAAAACTCTTCCCAACATCCAACAAGGATTGGATTGGGTGACTTAATTTAAAAGAATTAAATTAGAGAATAACAACAATCACAGAGGAGAAAAAAAAACCGAGGCAAAAAATGACACGGTGGTATGCAAATAGAGAGAATTTGAAAGTAAAATCGGATCGGAAGTTGTAGCCCAGCAGCGAACCCTTGATGAGGTGCGGACCGATCTCAGCTAATAAATAAAGTCACCTCTCTCAGTTCATTGCACATTCTAAACCACTGGCTAAATAAGAATGGTGAGGCGAGCAAGTGGCAAAAAACTGTGTCGTGAAGGGACCTTTCCCTTTCGTTCTTTATTTCTTTCTTTCTTTCGCTAGGCTTGGTCCTTATTTGATGGCGACACCTTTTTTCGCACCCTTCTTCTTCTTCTGGTCCTTTCCGGCCCAGTTCCTTCCCTTCCCCCTCCTCAGACAGGGGCGAGGTAAATAGAAGCATCGGAACCTGTCTTCCACTCAATTGATTGGAAATGGGAAAAGGGTTCCATCTGCATAATATGTATCTGCATATGTATGTATCTCTGCAGATTCATTCATTCACATGACAGTCATTATTTCTTTGAATCCTTGGTCGAATCTTCCGTTCCTTAACTAGCCAATGGTACTGCCAAAATGGGTCTCTTAAATATCTATAAGTAAGCGTGTCTAATGGACAAAAGCAGATAGAGCTATTTCCCAGTTTTCGATTTCACACTGCCAACCACCAATGAACCCAATATCGTACGGCCTGTGCCTGGGAAACGAGGAGGATACAATGTACATATGCATTTATAATAGAATGTTGCATACACCAAGTTGCAGCAGTTCTAGCTTCATTATCATTGTAATTTTATCATCATTATTGTTACGATCATCACCACCATGATAGGAAAGCATTAGGCTGTTACTATGTGAGAAAGAGAAAGAGACAAAGTGAGGTTGAGGAGGAAAAAATGGACAAGGAGTAGCGAGCTGGACAATGAGGGTCGGGGCGGTGACGAAGATTATGAAGATTTTCAGTAGTGGCAGTAATGATGCTGGTCTGGTGGTGACGATGCTGACGATGCTCAAATCAAGAGAAGAAGAAGACGAAGACGAAGAAGCTGAATCGCCTGGGGCTGAAGATTCGCAATGAGTGAAAGTTTTTTGCTGGTCACGCCAACCTTGGGCCACCCACTGGAAAGCTTTCCTTATACGTAACAAGCGTTTTTGCTGCCCAGGTGGAAAGGGCACCTTCAAATAATGCGCTCCTTATGCATATGCAATAATAATATCATCCCTCCTACGATCCTAACGACTTCCTACAACGAACATCAGCTCGTTTCAGGGCGCAACCAACTTACTACGCTTCGTACATACACTGTGACTGGTCGGCCTGCATGAAATATTGCCAACCTTGAGTTGGTCACTCACTCCCTTGGAGAAAGCAAAATTGTGTGGTTAGCGAATGTGTGTGTGAGTGTGGTGAAAGGGAACCCCCGGATTTCGGAGTAATAGGTAAAATGACTGCTGTTCGAGTACGAAATAATAGGGAAGTCAACTGTGTGATAGGACAGGTTTCAGGACATGATTTGAAGGCTTGATTAATGAGCTAGTTGTCCACAACACTGCAGGAAATCTCTACCCCATGAAACCACTACCACCGCACCAGCATCGGTGGCATCAGCGACAAGTAAAACCAAGCCCCCAGACCAGTTTAGCCGGCTATATGTACGTGGCTCTCCTTATGTTATGCTGATATTCTGCTGGTTGGCATTATTATTGCGAATCTCAAGGGCACAGATTTTTCTCTTAGCAACACAACTCCAGCCAACACTCCAACTTGGAAGTATGCAGCTTGAAGAAAGAAAACGAACAAGAGGAGAGGCATAACCTATTACGTTTTCAGCCCACCTACCACCGCGAGTATAATAATAAGCCATGGTCAACTCTCCGCATTTTTGCAATCTCTGTTTACACAGTTGGATCATTTCCTGCTAATAGGACACTGTCACTCTCTTCACACCTCCAACTCACACCCAAGTGAGACTGAGAGCGAGAGAGAGAGAGAAGGAAAACGAATAGACTATTAACTACGTTTAACTATGCAACTCCTCCGGTGTGACTTCTTAACAAAAATAATAATGCCAAGGTTTGGCGTATTCGTTACGTATTAGAAATGCAAGCCGTAGATTTTCAATTTTTTGAGCCAGCCTGTAAAAATGGGAGAGTCGGATCGCCAACCTGGGTTGGTCGTCGTCGTCGTCGACGTCGACGCCGCCGTTGCCGTCGTTTTGTCCCTGATGTTGGCGTGGTGATAGGGATGACAGTAGTGGTGGGATAGGAGGAAGGTGGTACTAATATGTTCTGGTCCTGGAAGAATGAATGGGAAGAAGAATAGTGGTTTTAGTAGCTGAAGCTTGGTTTGGTTGAGTGGTTCGTCGACTCTTTGACTTTGAAAGGTCAGCAGTGCAAAGACTACACCACTCACTCACTCATCTCGCCGACATGTGCAAATTATTTTTGCAAATCCAATCCACCAGCACCACTCATCATAATATTTACCACCACCACCACTAGTAACCATTTGTCACTCTGACATAGGACTCTCTTTTTAGCAGAGTATGGAGATGTAGCTTATGTGTGCAGATTACATATCCTCATTGCTTTTTGTTCATTCATTATCAACTAACCAAGTTTGCACCCAATTAAGTTGCTCTACAATCAAAGATAAAGTTTGCTTGTCCATAATTATATTACTGGCGATGATGGTTCGAGGTAGGAAGTGGGCGCTACCAGCCCCCATTCGCCTATATGGTTTCATTGGTTTCCTAGCTACTGAAATCGGGATAAGAATGGAGCTTATGCGAGGGAGGAAAAGTACTTATGTACCCGTGGTGATGGGATGTGTTCCACTCCCACTCTCATCAGCATGAACCATTCCAGGCAACTTTTCTCTATCCTTGAACAAATCACTGCTGTGCATGGCCCTCAAAATAAGATACCTTATGAGACATGAGCATAAACTTGAAAGCAAGTCCAACTTCGGTAGTTCCCCAGCTCGACGTGAATTTATAGCGAACCACCACCGACACAAGAATGACTTTACCCATTAAGTTTTGTCATGCCATGCATTGTTATTTCCACCACGACACAACGATGTACGAGAACGAATACGCCAGAATTCTATCGACCGAATGTACATCGTTGTAGAGCCAAAGCAAACACGGCATGAGAGACTCCTCTCTCTAAGAAAATATAATAGCATCGACATATTCATTACACCATCGGACAGCGGCCACATACATGGACACGACCTTGAGTGAAATTTACGTTTGGAATTAAATTTCCTCGGAAACTTCCTCCTGAATGATAATAAGAACTCGCTTTAGTGCTGAACCAGGAAAGACGTGGCCGAGAATTGCACTGTATCCGTGGTCCGTCGGAGGAGTGGGATTGTGTTGCATAATTATTATTGTTATTTCTAATCGCTTGCTGGAATAGAATCTCAAGTGTTGCACATCCCCCCATTCCCGTAAACGAAAACTGTTGCCTGTTGCCTTGTTGCTGAGTTGCATCCTTTGAGAACATGGTTTGAGAACATGATCATTTACTATGCACTTGACTCGATATAAATTTATTTAATAATGTTGTGAACGAGGATGAATGTTGTGTTGATGCTGGACCGATACTGGGACCGAGTGGGAAGTGCTTATCACAATCTTTTTGCCCGATAAGCCTCAATCCTCGTACTCAAGTGGATCCTGCATGTTCGTGTTTGTTCACCCCAGTCTAGGCCGCCCTTGAAACTAAAATAATGACGACTCCTTTTCCTCCTTCTCTGCGTATTTACGTTCAAGTCTTTTCTGGGGGATTTGCGAATATGGAATATATTTCTTTCCATATCTGCCCATCTGCACATGGGTCAGCGCTCCAACTAATCGTTTAGCGACGCTACACATGTACAAAGATGATCCTTGCGTGTCCGGGGAGGGGGAGTAATGGAAATGTAATTCTTCTAATAGCACGAATCCATAAACAATAAACTTATTATTGGCTCTCGTCACATTTCCGGGTGAGACGCTTGCCAAAATCCGCAGTATCGCCAGAGTCATCAACGTCATGATGCAATCAAAGAACTTGGCGTATTGGTGAATGTATGAACGCCCCGTAATAAATAAAAAGCATAAAAAAAACTAGCAAGAAGATGCGCCTTGGCAGTCTGAACAAGCATTAGAGAGACAAGAGGATTGGAGAATCAAGTAATTGACGACGCGATGTTGGTGGCGGTGGGGACGAAGGGGCGGGGAGCGTGACAGATGATAGCCCACTTCCTCAATGAACAAATTACTGATTCAGCGAACGAACAGGCGAGGCGAATGCTGGATATCTGGTTGGACTGGATTCATGACCAATGTCAATGTCACAGTGTAAGCCAGAGCCAGGATTTACTAGCTTTGCTCTCTTCGTTCGTCTGCTGGATGGATGGATGGATGGACGAAACTACTACATACTATTAACAACGAAGAGTAGTTGCTGGATGATATTATGGCAACAAACATTAAAGAGATGTTGCACATATTTCACGTTTCATACGTATTTTCTCATACGTACTTACATATGCAAGAAACTGAATGCGAGAAAATTTGCCCTTTAACCTAAACGTTTCTTGGCACACCCTTGGCCTAAGAAACCAAGTTTTTTCGCCAAGAGGAAAGGTGAATTGTGAAGAGAGTTCGAATGTCACCAGAGATATGGATACCTCGACCATTGTTATGCATGTAAGAGGAATAATAATAACCGAGACGGCCCACTACGCTATTGTGTTTGAAAGCCATAGCGGCTAATGCATACCAACGCCTGAGAAGGCAGAGCAATTTAATACGCCGTGATAATGATTATGATGATGCGATGCCCACTTTTGTGTGTGTGTGTGGTTCCAGGCACAACGAGGAAGAATTCAGGTTTAATTTTTGCAACAACTTTTTGCACACATACACACACAGAGAGACACACGCTAAAAGTAAAGGTATATAAGTAAGCCATCTTCTCATCCATACTTTATTGCGTTTTTCGTTGCATGCATCCAACCCGGTCCACATTCATCATTGGCGAGCAATACTATTAGCAGAGCAGCCTATATAGATATCGTAGCGTGGCTGGTGATGATGGTGTCCGTGGTAGTTGGTTGGACAAGTGGCTGCCTAGGGGACCATCCCAAGTTGTCCATTGTTCGCATATATTCGCAGCGTTAGGATAACCATCGGGGAATGTTTGCCAATTTCCTTTTGGGTTGGGAGTGTTTATTCAGACCTCAGTTGTCAGCCTTGAGAAAGGAGTTTGACCCACAAGCACACAACCAACACACCATTTGCTTCGTTACTTATTACCACACAACTTCAATAACAACATACGTATGCCACCATCGTCCATTCGTTGATAACTCTACTCAACTGCTGCAAATTGCAAGCAACCTCCCACCATCACCAACTATGCTACGCTATTCGCTATTCACTATTCATTCCTGTGCTATTCGATGCTATCCTGTTCAAATAATAATTCGCAACAGGATCGATCATCCATTGCGTTCCATTCAAAATCTATCACTCCTTCAAATAGTAATTGCGTCCCCTTTCTCTCTCTCTCTCTCTCTCCGGCCTTCAATCAATTTATGTGTCACAATCGAAACACTATAATCGACCAGCATTAATTCATTCCAGCAGCAGCTCAGCAGCTCGCTCAACCAACAACTTGCTCCTCAAATTTTTCCACTTTACGAGAAAAAAAACTATATATACACATAATTTGCGTCCCATACGATACGAGTGATGAACAGGAAACTTTGCAGAGCCCTCATTAAAAGTGACGAATGAACGAACCCCTGTTACACCAGAACAAATCCGCTGTTGTAAAAATGAGTCAATTAGAACACTCATGTGGAATCATCACAGGCAGTCCTTCATCATCTTCCTCATCTTCAGAGATATGGATGCATGCATGTATGTGCGACGTATTATTATTAACCACGCTCATTTAATCCTGATGCAACCATTTAAATCTGGCTTGACATTCATGTGATGAAGTATGTTGCAAAAAATGCTTTGCGGCTTTAAATGTAATATTTATATTAACATGAGCAGTTAAGCAAAACTATTTTTGCATGATCACGCTAAAATGAGAAATTGTCTGGATGAGGATAAATAGCAATGATGATTATGATGATGTTGCTACCACACACTACTTACTTTTAGATAATTATTAAAATAAATTAGGAAACAAATTGCACGGGCACAATGGATGCTTGTCAACTTTCTTTGAGACGAGGAACCGGAAAAGGAAGGGAGTGGCAGACTTGAAGATATTAGAAATTATTGAGACACTTCAAACGGAGATGAAAATAAGGCTTGTTGAAGAGAGGAAAATCAAGAGTACCACTGAAAGACGCTCCCTTTCCGTCCTATTCATTTTCCAATTTTAGCATGCCCTGAGAGATTGCTATATTACATTATGGATGTGATGATGAGAAGTCATTTAACCAATAAAAAAGACCAATGTGATTGCATGCATGCTGATTTTCTACGTAATAGCAAAGCAAATTAAGCTACGGTGTACATACATAAACTATTATCACAAAGTTTTGATACTCTGATAATGGCTTCGCACTTCTCCATCAAATCAATAGAGGAACAAGTTTTTCCGCCTCTGGAACTTTTTTTATATATTTAAACTTGTTATTTTTCTCCATGTTTATTTTCCGACGAGTCGTCCTGACCTCACCGCAAAACTCAGGCTATTGCAAAATGAGGCAGGCAGCAGAGGAGAGGATTGAAGTCGGATGCGGTAAATTGTGCGAACTCATTAAGCATGCGGGATAAAAACGACACAGTAATAATCATGCAATTCATTGGCTGTTATTAATTAATTGGCGTTTCTTTCTTTGATTCTCATGGGATTTTCCTGGAAAGAGTGTTCACCCTGCTCATGCTGGAAGAAGTGAAGCATAAGAACATAGGTAAAAATGGTGACTGACCTGGTTGATGTTGCCTGTTGAGTGAGTATGGGTGGCGCACTGGGAGCTGACAGTAGGGTGACCCGAGGTATCCTCCGGGACTTGGACTCTCCGGCGTCTGGGTTCCTAAAGACAACAACAGAAATTCAGTGGTGGTCAAACACTTGACAAATTGGACATGAGAAAAATGAGCGAGATTATTTTTTTTCATCGCGTTCTCCGTTGCATACATACATACACGTAGAGAGTAAAACTACTGGAGGCAAAAGTAAAAGGACGTCCGGAAGTGCAATTTTCATTTCCGTTTCCGTTGGCCTATTGAGTCAAACTCGACGGAATATGGACAAATGCACAATACATAAAGCATGCCATCCATCAAGTGGGGCGCACAACAATAATACACACAGAAGAAATCATTCAGTGCTAAATCGAGAATAAATACTATGAACGTGTATTACCTGGAGTGGGCTGGAGTCGACCTTTGGTATCGTCATTCGACGTGTGACCACTGCTGCTAGAGTCCACATCTGACACTCCGCTGTCTGCTGGGCTTGGCGGAAGTGAACCTGTTCCATCAACAAAATAGAAACTTGTAGTTTGTCATCATGCATGTACATATTAGCAGAAATGCTAATACTTGAAAAATTCCAAGTTTCGCTTGCTTCATACCGGCACCAAAGTGACATAAAATATGCCTCAATAAATATATAAGTGTGCGAACATGGTGATGATGGAATAAGACGGATATTAGTATTCTACTAAAAATACTCCTAAAATGTATGCATATTGAATGCAACTGTCGTTTGTTTTAATCCTACACACGCTGATGGGAAGAAGAATCTTTGCAGCATTGAGTAAATTTGTGTTCCAATATTTGGTAAAGCTAATATTTATTATTAAGCATTAAAAAACAAAACAAGCCGCAAATGAAGGAAATCCGCTTCGACTCCTGCATTTGTACCACATCATAAAAATAATGGGACCTGGTTGGTTGCTGTCTGTCCCGAATTCATGAATAGATTGCCGATACATCGATTCTACTCCACAATACAGGGTGGGATGAATTATTAATTAGACAAGACTTTACACTATGTACTTCTTCTCATATGTGGACTATATATCTTCTGGGTGTCATGGCATGAGAATGAGAAAAGTTTAACTATATGTACGTACAAATTCGTTCTACATATTTAAGCTACGACTAAGAATATTGTGGGCTTTATCGTCTCATTTTTTATGTAATGTTCCATATACACATGGAACGGACGAGTCGTCTGAACTTGATCTTTTTTCCAAATATCTATTACTTGCCCAATATAATTCCAAATTAAGAAAAAAGGTTCTCCTCTAGATGTGTCATGCTTTCATTGGAATTGCGAAAAATGATGGGGCTCCAAGGCGTAGACGTTTTAACGAGGTGTTTAAATTTCGAGTTAAGTTAAGTGGTCGGGATTATTGGTGAACGAATATCCCATCAGTTTTCGACTGTGTGTGGAACCCGTTTTAGTGTTACGACTTTCCGAAACGGAAGTAGTTGGATTACTCAATGTCTTCTGCGTGGGTTGTGTATGACATGTACATATCCATGCCTAGCCTGCCTGCATGCAGACTTGTAGACCATCTGACTACACGGCTTTCCTTCTTCACTTTCATTTTATTGCTTAAAATGGGTTCAGCCTGTTTCTTTTCAACCAATTGTTTCCTTCACAAAATGCCATGCATACACATACTGCATACGCACGGAAGAAGAAATTAGTTTAAAAAATGAACTTGTAATCTTCTCCTTCTCTTCTTCCACAGGAAATGAGCGAGGATCTAACTGCGCCTATATTTTTCTAATTTTTCTCTAATAATGTTCCTATCTTCCTTCTCGTTAATATAGATAAAAGTCGATGGGTCATGTTACCTGTGGAGTTGTGGTTGTACGGGGGGAGTCGGTGGGGCAGTGGGAGTGGGTGATGGTTCAGGATACCCTGAAGAAGTGTGCTTTGCCTTCCTGGAGATCCACTCTCCAATTCCAACAATCCACTCAGTCCCACACCACTTCCGTCAACTGTAATCATTAAAAAATAACAATCATTAATTATTTATCAAATTATACATTAATTTATTTTTAATTTGGTGATATGGATGCATGATGAGATCAAGTACTTATGAAGTGCAATATTATTTGCCTGGATCATTACGAATAAAACTGTCAGATTTATTGATAAGTAATGCCGTGCGTTTCCTCTCACTACATAAGCACTCCAGCCGTGTTAAATTTTACACAAGTACCGTGTATGCCTACTACCAACAACAAGGATGACGACGACGACATGAGAATGAGAATAGGCGCATGAATACATAGGTGAACATGCATGTGAGAAAAACCAGAAATATTCCTCCACAAAATTAGCTGGAGTAAACAATGGATTGCATGCCCAGGGATGAGATTGTAGCTTAAAGTCATTATTATGACGCTCTGTTATTGTTGCTTGGTTGGTTGAGACTTCCTCTTCCATCAAATCCACTGACTCATCATGCAAGTAAAAAACTGGAACGGAAATCTTGGTTCTTCTCAACAACCACACACGGCAACTGCCACAGCAGCCACGACACCAGCCCAATAATGAAAGGAAAGAAGAAGCCAAGATTATTGTTGATTGTGAATATTCATGCCATCCATCCATCCATCCTCCTCCTCCTCCAACTCGTACTTTTATACTACTTTGCTTTTCCTCGTGAATTATAATTCCATCGCATCGTTCTTGTTTTCTTCTCGTTTTTGAAAAAGAACTGCGAGTCATCTCGACTTTTTTGCTGTGGCGTTGCTGGAACTATTATACATAGCTCTTCTCAAAGTGCTACCTGTTCCTTCACTGTCTGCTGCATCTCGCCTTCTTATCCTATTTTTCTCTCAACCTTTTAACCAATTCAACCGAGCGAGACGAGCTCATGCAGATGCGTAGTGGGAAAATGTCCATGTCACAAAAATTTGACCTAAAGCACAGTCAAAATATGCATCAGCAGCAACAACCACCCTTTGTTCCACGGGCGGAATATGTTTGCTCTCATTTGTCATAAAATAGAGGGACAGTGGTTTATCTAATTAAGCATCAAAACGAGGGGTGTAATAAATATGTCAGTTCGTATTGTTTTCGCTTTCGTGATTAGCATTCCGTCACAAGTGGCATGGGTGGACCTCTGCCCGTCTGCTTTTCTTCGTGAAGATAATTGGACGAGTTAACTTCCGCCAGGCGAAAAGGAGAGGTGTACCTGTTGCATGAATTAGCCAAGTGGAACAGAAAAAGTCCAGTAGTGAGGAAATCAGTGTCCGGAAATCATTATCGTCATTCCCTTGCATAAGAAAATAGGGAGAAGAAGAAGAAACCACGCATACGTACATATTCCCACTCCTCCTGCTAAATAAAATACCTAAATACGTACGTACTACTCTACTGATACTTTTTCTTCTCTCCCCATTTTTCAACGTGCTCGTTTTCCCATAAAATTAAAATTTATAAAAATTTGTTTAACGGCCACTTTGAGGATGCAACAGCAGCAACAAAGTCACCTTGTTTTATGCCCACGAACATCCTTTGCTTTTACTGATAATGATAAGACATTTGTTTGCATGAGAAAAAGAGGGAGACTGAAGTTTCTGAAGGGGGTTTGAAAATAATGAAAATAAACACAGCGTTTCTGGAGATATTCCAGTCCCTGGATGAAGAAGTTCGCCAGGCAGGGTGGGCCTCTCGGAGGAACCGATTGCTTACATAATGACAGATATGATACAGTCTTCCTCCTCCTCCTCTCTTCTCCTTACAATCAAAGAGCACATTCCCTTTCTCACAGTTGCTACACACTCGGACCGAGTTACACATCCACATTTACTATTTACCCACTCATGAACACGATGTTCAGTGAGATACTGCTGAATTAGTGAATCGGGATGTTTGACAGTATTAGTGAGAGAGGAATGGCTCAATGCTCAATAAAACGATGGACAATGGCAATAATAATCATACATTGGTTTATTGTATGAGTAATTCGCATGAATGCAGTTGCTTGTTGAGGAGTGACGTGCAATAATAATAATAATAATAATAGAACTAAAATGTAGTGGTAAAGCCACATTTGAGTTTAATCAATCTCTGCAGTGTGCAAGAGCAGGGCATACGAACGAACCTGTAATAAAAGTTGGATTGGTTCAGTGCAGTCGCAGACAACAATGTTAATGGCACAATGTTGGTTGGTAGATTGGTTGGTGGATGGATGTTGAAAAGTGTGAGGCAATGATGATGAGGTAATCTCACTACGAGCTCATTGTGCACTTAATCTAGGCCACCTTTCCCTTTTCCCAACCAAAGCTTAAAGGAGGTGTGTGTGATAGTGGAAATAGTGTGCAAGCCAACGCACGACAATTGCATTGCATTCGCACTGCATTATTGCGTTACACTCAGAACCACCAGCGACCGAGAGACAAGACGAGAAGAACGATGATCCAATGTCTCGATGACATTGGAGATCTTGCTTGGCTTCTTATTTATGTGTTATTGCTACACATATTACATTCAGACGCTAAATTATTTCTATTGATATCCTCCAAATTACAGGAAGAGAAAAAACGCCGTTTCCCACATTTATCACTTACAAGACGTACCTTTAGTGAGTAAGTAAGTAAGTAATACACACGGCTACTGGCTCACAACCGCAGGAAAGAAACATTATTATTTTAACTGTGACTACAAATGTACGCTTGTACTCCTTTGGAGAAGGACAAGAGGAGAAGAAGAAGAAGACGTGTTGAGCAATTCACCTGTTCCGTTCTGGTTTTAGGCTCCGAATCAAGGAAGTGAGAGGGGGTGGTGGTAGGCACTAATAGTGAAGCTAAATTCTGGACTTTTTATGATTTTTTTCAACTGTCCAGCCAACCGAGACTTCAAATCCGGTCTCATCAACGAAACCACCTCTCGTTCCCATCCGATGTAATGTAATGGCACGATGGCATTATTAACATTTGGCCACGCTACCCAACCAACGCACAAACTTCTTCTCTTATATTTTCACTCCAAAGTTACGTAAATTTACTCAAGTTCTTCTCAAGCCGTTCATTCTTTAGTAGGTAAAGACATTGCAAGTTTGAAATGAATTGGTTGGTGGTGGTGCATGTAGAAGCTGTGATGAAGCAAGTGACTAAAAGTGTCCTTGATTGCGTGCATTACACCTTTAGCTCTAGCCCTCCATATATTTAGCAGCAGCAGCAGTAGAGCTGGTGCTGGTAAAGAAAGAATGAATTCACCACACTATTCACTCCTTAGTCCACCAAGCAATCCTTCACTTTGTATGATTTTGCTTATGCCATTCCTTTGCTTCGACTTGGCTCACTCCTTGTGTGCGATATTGCAACACTTGATTCAGATCCATTCAACCGAAAGGAAAAATTGCCTTCAAATCTCCAAAAGAACATCTCGTTCCACCATCTGAACATGGCAAACATCTCTCAAAATAAGCATCATCAGTGGAAATCATTCTCGGCAAATATGTATATGTTCACCTGATTGTATCCTCAATCAGATCCAACACTAGATGCATCGCTCTCTCTCTCTCTCTCCGTCTGACCAAATAATCTACAACAGCAGATTTAGCATTGCTCTTCATCTCGCCCATTCATCCACGCATAATATGATCATCAGGATGTTACAATGCACCAACAATTTCATCGTTTTTGGTCACAACAAACAAACAAATAATCATTCCAAAAATGCATTTGCTGCTAATAAATATAGGCAACACCACCACGAACCATTCCAAATGAGACAAATGCGATCCGACTGCAAAGTTGACAATGATTTTGGCAAGATTTTAGGAAAAGGACAAATGTTGTTGATGCTGATAAGCCGTGAGCCACATCATCGAATACAACTCTTCTACTATAACTCACTGACTGACTTTTGGTGACTCGTCGTATGTATGCAATACCCGGTTGGATTGGGATGTTTGTGACTCTCCCAATCGTCTCAAGTATGTCTGGTGACCTTCTCACGAATTCGGAGCATTAAATCAACCCGAACGAGAGGAATTCCTCCCTCCCTCCTTTTCCCCACATTTCCTTCCTGGTTGTTGGAATTGACCCACATCATCACCTCCTCTACTCTCCATGTGTACATAAGCCACACTACTAAACAAAGTCCCAACAATCGCATCATCGTGTCAAGTCGTCTGGCTGAGGTGGAATAGTTGACCCAATTCCCAGCCGAATAGCGGGGAGAGACTCTAATTGAACACCGCACTTGAAGGGAGGAACCCTTAACAATCTTCATCTCATGCCCTAGAGGATGAGTTGAAAGTGAGTCAGGATTTTGGAGCATTGTTACGAGAATAAAAAACCAGACTAGGAAGAAGACAAATAGATACGAGGAGATGGTGCACTTGTTTCTTCTTTGGATGGCTTCCTTAGTATGATGTACCTGCTGCTGTTGCTCCTCCTGAGGATGAATTACATAAGCATAAGCGAGACCAGACAATTTAGGACGAGACGGTAAAAAGCGACGAGAAAGGAGAGCAAGCGATGGATAAACGGTAATAAAAATGTGTAGCCTGGAGATCCCGCATAATACAAGAATTGAAAAATGGAGTGGATGAACTATGAGATGATGATACTACTGCGATTACTATTACAACGACGACTACTACGTGTGGTGCAACATCTCATTGTACGTCGTCGTACCTCATCGTGATCATCATCTTCCACAATCTCAGTCAGTAGAAGAAGCAGGAATGAGTTAAGTGAGTGTATTATTGGGGTCTAGCGGAAGTAAGTGGGTCAAGAAATCCCGAAGACGTACAACCCTGACCCATTTGCCCACACGGGATTCCTCTCCCATTGCATCCATCCACTGGGGCGGCACTCTTTTCATTCATCACCCCAAGAGGGGAAAGAATCTGGTAGATTATGCATCTCCGATATTCAGGACATGATCCTAACCCGCTTAGTGTTGAATTGGGGCCAATAATTACAACAACTTGGCATTCCATGTCTCGAAGCACGATCCTATCGATACACATAAT